CTATTGTTGGTTCATTGGGCATGTAGACCTTACTTTTCTAGAATTCCCTATGTAACCCCCAATCCCAAAGATGGCTGGTATGCCCCCACATTACCCACATAAACCCATAGGTTTTTTTTGATGGAGGATCCCCAGTCGTCACCATAGGTTTCAATATTCAAAGGGTCATGACTTGCATGATTTGAGGGCGCCCCTTTTTTTAGGAAACTTTCATGGATTGGCATATGATTCACCATTCATTATTTCACCAATAATGTTTGTTAAAACAGCAATAAACAATCCCCAATTTCACCACCTTTATAGGTGGTATGTTTACCATTCCCGGTCATAGGTGGTTTATAACATTGCTTAAACCACAGTACCAGTTTTGGACCCTATCTCCAGCGCTCTCCTGGATGCAGGTAGAGTTGGGTCCCCAGGGCATCGATTGTGTGAGTCTTTGGCCCGGCGTGGTCTACACGGAATTCGTGCAGTCCCTGCCGCTGGGCTTCCGGGGAATTCGCCATTGGATCTTAGGGTGCCCTATTCTCAGACAAAGCCTTAGAAACAAACGGGACATATTCGACATTGTGGATGGTGTATAGTAAAATGGTAACCAGAAAACAGAGTTGTATGTTCAATAATGTTGTAAACCCAGTAGTAAAACCTCACTAGCCATGGCACATACAACTCAGTTCCAGTCACATGGAGCTGTTTTACTGCTAGGCTTCCCTCGGTAGGGATAATCATCTGCAGCAAAGATCATGGGATCTAAACATGAAGAAATCATAATAATGGTTGAATAAATAGGAAGTAACAGGATGATGATAATGTATGATACTGTGATAAATAGGCCAAAACCCCACGAAAACCCAATAGTCATCCCCTGCCTGGTTTGAAATGTTTGTCGTTTTTCTATCCAGCAAGTGGGATGGTGACCCCTTTTGATTTTCCGAGTTTTCAGGTGGGTTGAAATCACATTGGGTATACAGCTGGGATGATGTAAGTCATTGCCCCCAAATAGCTGATAAGTTGATTTGTAAAGGGCGTGTTTTTGTTGGGTGTACCACGTGAAGTTAGTAAGCCCAGAAAAAAACATCCTAATTGCTTTGGTCAACCGCTTTGGTCAACCTTGCACAGGCCTTTTTTCACTTAATGGGGATATGCAATTAGCGAGGTAAAGATTGATTTTTCAGGCTAGCAACGTTGCTAAATTTCCTGGTAAATCTGCCGGTACCAATCTGGATATTTTGGCCTTTTCCCAAGATTATTGCCCCTTCCCAGGTATGAAAAAGGCGACACCGATCGCATCAACCGCGTCACCGGCGGACGTGACCCCAACGCCACATGGCGCCACAGGGGGGATGCAGGTGCCATTGGCGCCGTCGGCCCACGATTTGCATTGGCTACTTGCAATGATGCAAAGGATAACATCTATAACTGATAATCGAAGGAAGTTTAGAAGTCAAACTTCCGACAATATGGACAGATGAAAAGCAGAGCAGGGAAGAGGCAGAGAGAAGAGAAAGATTAGAAGAAAGAAGAGTAGAAGAGAAAGAGTTAGAAGAGAGAAAGATTAGAAGAAAGAAGAGTAGAAGAGAAAGAGTCAGAAGAAAGAAGATGCAGATGCGCGAAAAGGTAGGAAAGTCGCGAAACACTGTGTTTTTTCCAATGATTTGTGGCTCCGGAGGGTCGAAAAGTAGGCTCGCTAAAGCGGCGGGTGCGGAGCCAGCTGGCCACAGGAGCGATGAAAAATTGCACGCCGTTGTGGCGCGAAGCACATTTCCAAGTCAAAATGTACAAAACACCAGGGGTTCGGACCACTTTTGGGAGTTGAGATGTCGAAAAAGTGCACGCCGTTGTGGCGCGAAGCACATTTCCAAGTCAAAATGTACAAAACACCGCAGTGTCGGACCACTTTTGGAAGTTCAGATGTCGAAAAAGTGCACGCCGTTGTGGCGCGAAGCACATTTCCACGTCAAAATGCACAAAACACTAGGGGTGCGGACCACTTTTGGCAGTTGAGATGTCGAAAAAGTGCACGCCGTTATGGCGCGAAGCACATTTCGAGGTCAAAATGTACAAAACACCGCAGTGTCGGACCACTTTTGGAAGTTGAGATGTCGAAAAAGTGCACGCCGTTGCGGCGCGAAGCACATTTCCACGTCAAAATGCACAAAACACTAGGGGTTCGGACCACTTTTGGCAGTTCAGATCTCGAAAAAGTGCACGCCGTTGTGGCGCGAAGCACATTTTGAAGTCAAAATGTTAAAAACATCAGGGGCTCGGACCAGTTTTGGAGGTTCAGATGTCGTTTCGCTAGGCAGGCGCACGAGATTGTGGATCTTGTCAAAAGTGGGCAAAAAAATGAGGGTTTTGCAGCATTTCGACAAAAGATGGCAGGCGCAAAGAGAGAGAGAGGCCAGCTGGGTAGATGAGATAGATAGATTAGATAGATAGATAGATAGATAGATAGATAGGTAGATAGGTAGATAGGTAGATAGGTAGATAGGTAGATAGGTAGATAGGTAGATAGGTAGATCATGAGATAGGTAGATGGTAATAGATAGATCGGTGATAGGTTAGATAGATAGATTATACTAAAAGATAATAGATAGATGTATAGATAGCATGGATCGATAGAATAGATGGATAGATGATTAGATATATCCACTAGATAGATTAGATAAGATAGCTATAGATCTATATAATATATAGATAGATCGATAGCTAAATGTCCTAGCTTCTTAGATGTTCAAGTGTATGGAATAGATCGATTGATAGATATGATAGATTAAGATAGGAGAACATCTCACTAACAAATATTCTATCTCTCTGATAGATCGCTAACATCGATCTCTATATAGTAGAACAGATAGCTAGGTATGTAGGTAGGTAGATAGATAGTCAGAGAAAGAGAGAAATAGTGAGAGAGATCAATCACCTTTCGCTCCATCAGTGGCTTCGCTCTGCCATCCCTGATTCACAACAACCAACCTCTCCTATAGGTTTCCTATTTTTGAAACTTCCGCCACCGCCTTGTGCGGTACTACTGGTAACTTTCCATAAGATGGTTTTTGGTTTAGCAAACCGACCTAATTACTATCCATCGAACATCGTTGGCATTGGTACTTTTAGAAAGGACAATGGAAAATATGGGACAATGATTATCCATTGACAGTGGTGTAATAATGTGAGACTAATGTGGGAAACCCAATGCAATACACACCCACCATTTAGGGGATAGTTTTTTAAAGCACCTATGGTGATCTTTGGGGTGGTTTATTTGAATTCGATTCTCCCGGTGATCGGAACCGTTTCAAACCATGCTAAATCCTAGCAATCACTGGCGGTTAACCCATTAAACCGCCACTGGTGAGAAAATATCATTCCATCCCCATGGTATCCCTATCAAAACGAATCAAGATTAACTTGCATTACCTTATGGTAATCAAACATGGTTCGCTGTAAAACCCCCCCTTTAGTTCGATGATTTTCCCATTTCTGTGGTCATATGATTTGAAACCCTATTTGGGTAAAGGTCTGAATCTTTAGTGAAGACCCAGAATGGATAGCAACTAAGTCCTGAACCTAGCGCTCATCATGAGCAGAATCAACAAACAAGTCATTCCCACAACGTGCCATCATGCTGCCAACTTCCCATGGTTGTTGGGAGTCCGCGTTGGTTTTTGTTGAGTCCCCATTTGATTGCTTAAATGCTCAGGTTTGACTGTGCTTGCTGGTTTGGATCACTTGGCTCCAAACTTTCCATTGGTTAAAACCGGTCTTTGTTTGTTCAATCTTCACTTTTCAAGTTAGAGCTAATTTCTTTTGTGGGTACAATTGTCGGGCTTCTGTTTATGGTGCCCCGACAAAAAAAAATGAAGAACCGGAAGTATCGATGGACCACTTCCAGAAGAAGGTGCCTGATTGGTTGAAGTCCCCATTATGGTTGATCTCCGGAAATTCCAAAAACATCCCCATGGTCAACCATCTTTCGGTGCAAACCACCCTTTTTTGGCGTCAAAAATCGCAAGATGCTGGATAACCACAAAAAGGGAAAAGTGAACCATGGTTAATCACCCCAATGGTCATCCAATCGTGGAATACCATAACTTTTCCAGAAAATTGGCGTGTATGTAAATATGTTTGCAGAATATGCTCACATATACCCAGTATATCCCCACTTGTCCAGAAAATTCCAAGTAAAGAAACCATCATGTATCTTTTATATCTCACCATTTTCTAGAAAAAAATGAAAAAAAGTAACCTCCCGGTTTGTGGATCAAAAAAGTAACCTCCCGGTTTGTGGATCAAAAAAGTAACCACCCGGTTTGTGGATCCCCAGGTGGTCTGTGAAAGTCCCTTGCTGACTGGCCGCGTGGTGGCACGTCTGGCGGACGATTTCACGGCGCGGAAGACCGCGCTCAGTGACGTGGTGTCGGATGTGGCAGGGGGTTAGCCACGGATACCCAGGTGATTGGTGGTTTAGAGTTGTTTTCATCGGGGAATAGTTGGATATAATGCAATTTGAATTGAGTTTCAGGGGTTTACCCCGTGTAATGAAATTTTCATAGAACTGAGCCATCCATTATGAGAGTTTTGGGTTGAAGTATCAATCAAGGTGGTGCCACATAGTTGCTTAGATTGGACAACAACTCCAGTAGTTGGGGTTTATTATAGTTATATCTATATGGGTGAACATAACACCAACTGATCAGTGGGAAGGCACCACCTAGGTCTAAAGTTGCCGTTTGAGTCGGAGGGCGCTGACAAAAAATGACAACATGAGCTTTATCCCAACCAAAAAGCTGGTTGGCTTACATCTAGCAGACAGCCCTGTGTCTCACAGCTAGTTCCGACCCCATATGGCCCATATGGGTTGTTCCAAAACTGGATAATTTCGCCCCAAAACCTTTGTTTTATCTCTCAACATTTACACATTGATATATTTTGATATGTATATATATATATATGTGTGTGTGTGTAATATTGGTTTATTTACCAGTCATTATAGAGATACCAGATAAATCAAAGATCTTTCATTTTACCATCCATCAACTAGTTCAAGAATCTTCCAACTTTCAATTCAGTGAACGAAACCCACTTAATGCATGATTCAAAGGTTCAATCAGTTCAATCCCAATATAATCCCATTTTCCCATATTATCCCAATATAATCCCATTAAAATCCCGATATAACCCGGTTATATCCAATATAAACCCCCATTTTTGACGCTGGACCTGGATCTCCATGGATCTCAGGCACCGGCGGCCTCACCTCGCGCGTCTGCGTGGTGGCCGAGGCCGCGCGCGACCTGCAGCTGCGCGACGGCGGCCCCGACGGCACCGTGGCCAAGCGGCGCCGTGGCGTTCGGCAGATGGGGACGGGGACGGGCGGCGGAAAAATGCGGGTTTTGGCCAGTGAAAAATGGGAGTTGGTTGTTTTGAGGAGGGACTACTGGGATCCACCAAGTACCCAGTGAAGATGTAGCGGGCAGTTTTGACTACGTTTAGAATCGGAAGGTGCTAGTTTTTGGTCTTGAATGAGTCTTTTGGTCGCGTTATAATGGTTTAGTGAATAATAATGAGATCCCTTGACTAATAACGCTGTTTAATTCATGTTGGTAGTCTTGGTTGGTTTTTTACCAATAATGACGGGAACCAAGGTGCCTCCCAGGCAAAATCACTAATTCTGCAAAATGTCAAAATGTCCTTTTGTCGTAAAACAAAGTTTGAATCACCCAACAATGGGACTAATTAATTTCAAAACAATGAGAACTTTGGTGAAGGGAAGCATTGGATGATTTTAATCCCCGGGCGTGTTGGGATACATGCGTTACCAGCGACCTTAGTCCTGCAAGATGGAGATGTTTTTTGCAGCAACCGCCAACTGTCTGGGCCTACCAAGCTGCAATAATGATTGCGTAACCAACAACAGTGGATCAAAACATATCAAAAACTATCACAGGTTGTTGGGATGAGATATATTAAGGCAAAGAAATTCAAGCAACAAAGAAACGTGAAATCACAGCAATGGAAAATTGCAGTAACGGGGTTTGGGCAGGTAGGTGAGCTTGAGAAAGTTTTGTTGGCCAAAAAAATGAGACATGCTAGGTGAAGCCAAAACCTGTGCGATAGTCGCAATTTCGGAGCAAATCTCTTCAATGGCTCATCACTCCCCAAGCTCAAATGATCACAGCTGAACTATCAACCATACAAGGATGGACCAAAAACAGGTAAATTGTATTTGGGCGGGGTAAACATCCATAAATCCAAGGCATTTTGGTGGAAAATCCCATAGGTCTTGACCCCACATGACACGCTTTGGTAAAGCGGCCGTGACCGGCACCATCGACCAGCACCACGTTCTATGGGACAATGCGGAGGTTATATGGTCCCGACCGTGAACCTGCGGCGTCCATCCGATCGCTAGGTGCAGAAGCGCTTAGTTATTTTCAAAGATGGGCGTGTTTGACAATGGGGCTATTGTCAGATATAGTGAGAAAATTATCCGTAAATGTTGATATGATGGGATATGGCCAGCCAAAATAGGTTTTTGGTTGTGTCTGATAGTGGGGTCGGTATGCTCCCCAACTGAACATTTTTAGGTAAAAATGATGATCTACAGTGGATTGGAGAAAGATATTGAATGGTTAGAAGTTAATGGCATAATCCAAGAATTGCAGTTTTGTGAAAGCTATGATGATTAAGAGAATGTGATGCGGGGAAAGATAGCGATTAGAAAAAAGGCCATGGCTATAACCCCAAGAATTGCGGTTCAATTATGCAGAAGGCTACGGTCTCCGCAGTTTTCGATGGCCTCCTTCATCACCTGGTGACAGTGTGATGATGATCCTTTTGTTTTGGCAACCATTTCATCGCCAGAAAAATTCTTTGAATCAGGAGAAAGTGTTGCACATATCCTATTCAATCAATGATTTTTCGTGGTGACAAGTCCAGTTTTGGCATCAAAAAATATATATATTAAAAATCCACACTTGACGCTACGCAGTTTATGCCCAAACGGCATTTTCCCTCCCTAGTAGGTTTGCTGATGTGAACAATAGGGAGCCAGGTTTTGACATGTCTTGGCCCATGGCCGCATGATTTGTTTTGGAGTTCCAATCCCAAAAGCATCCAAATCTATCAGTGCCATCTTTGATATCTTGATCCATGGTTTTGAAAATAGTCTTTAGTGAAATGGTTGGTGGTTTGGAACATGCACTTTATTTTTCCATATATGGGGAATAATCATCCCAACTGACGAACTCCATCATTTTTCAGAGGGGTAGGGCTCAACCACCAACCAGTGAAGACCTAAGATGAATCGAAACCAAAGAACTCTTCATCCCATTGGTTTTGCATCCGCCAGGCTATCTGCTGCCGGCCTTTCTCCCGGACAAGTTGCCGCCGCCCTTGCGGTGGTTGGTGGAACCCGGCGGGCCCTTGGCCAGCAAGGACGGCCGGTCGGTGTCGGGGAAGACAGCGGGGGTTGTTTTTTACAGTACATGGTTTGAACCGGCAACAAATGGGGTTTAACCTGGGTTTAACATGGGCTTAAATTGATTTAAGTATCGGAAACAGATGTACAACCAACAATGAATGGGAATATGATCGGGATCTGGTGCGATACAGTAGTTGGAGTAAACCTTAGAGAGGTACTTTAGTACGAACTAATTTGTTATTATGAATGGGCATATCATGTAGACCGGGTTTTTGGCCAGTTATCCAAGATTTGCCATGGTTTTAAGCCTAAACTTGTTAGGCTGATCCAGGTCAAATGATTGGGGATCCACAAGCATCAAACATGGGGAGTCAATCTTGGGGATGAACCCCGGATTTCACGCTTCAAATGGAAATAGAAACCAGCAATAAATGCCAATGGGAAGGATGAGGAAAATCAGCGACTATCATTGGCGTTACTTCCTGTAAATATGCCCGTTGGGATGGAAATGGTGGCGAAGTATTGTTGATGTTTTTATGATTTAAAAGATGCAGAAAAGGCCATTGAGCCATTACCAACCAATAAGTGCAACGCAAAGGAATCTAAGATGAGTGTAGCTGCTGAAAATGATGTGGATCACTGTGGATCAATGAAAACTGTCAGTAAAGATGAGCATAGAGCTACCACCACTATACGTTCTGTCACAAGAAGGAACGTGGTTTAGCTAGTACTGCTTGCTCTTTGGAACTGAAACATGCACCGATCAAAAGCCAGACTTTGGTGCATCATCATGGATATGCATGGCAGGATTGCTGAAGGGCTTCCCCCTTGACATGGAGGTACGCAGCCCCTTGTGACAATAGCAGGTTGCAATATCGCAAGTGTGACAAAAGCAAAGGCCCAAAGTAAAAACACTTGTTTGTGAAAGATAGTTCACCCATCTGTTTTGCTTCCCAAACAATGGAGAAATCAAGATTTCATCAGCATGCATCCTTCATCCCATTTCGTTGCCCAATACCGCCATTGTATTTCCATTGTATACCCATTATGGCTGATATTCACATTGCGATTTCCATGATATACCCACATTGGGGATATTCCACTATTTCATGATATCCACATTAAGATATGCATGATCCTCCCATTATCTTACCAGTTATCAATCATAATGATATTTCCATGTTACATCCATTTATTGCCATGATATTCCCATGATATTCCGGATTCTCCATCTTCCCATTCCATTCCCAGCGTTCTTATCTGACCCCCCCTGGAGGACATCCGCGTGCCCTTCGATTTGATGGCGCAAGATCCGCGCACCGAAGATCCACGGAACCAGGACCTGAAGGACTTCGCCAAGGCGTGACAAGTCGAGTCGTGGTTTTGCTGGTTAAGTGATGGTTTCCAATGGGATTTGAATGGGATCACCAACAAAAACTTAACTTTCCATTAAAACTTTACTAGATCCCATTCAAGTCCCACATTGGACAGATAACAAATATGTTGGGTTTAGTAAAGTTTAATGGGAAGAAGTGATGGTTTCCAATGGGATTTGAATGGGATCTAGTGGGGATACCGTGGGAAAATGATGAGGATGTAAAGTCACGCAAATATGATACAGTATTTTAATTGCAAAAATGATGCGTTGATGGTAGTTTGATATATTTTATTGGGAAGATCATGTGATTCAACCAACAAGTGCGGAAAAACAATAGAAGATACCACCTATTTAAATTGGATTGAACCAACCAAAACGGGACTTAAGCACCAAGAAAAATCGTCATTTAATGAGATATATTTGGTGGCATCATGGGAATACAACCAAGAATTAAGGGGATACAATGGGATTTAATGGAAACACAATGAAGATATTCTATTGAGATACAAGTATAGTAAATCCCGAAAAAGAACACATACATGTTGTAAATTCATGATTCTTTTTTAGACTTCACTGTGTCTAAGTTTTTTCTCGGGTTTTCATCAAAAGCAGTTTGTTGGATTGAGTTTGGTTCAAATTCAATCCCTGGCAAGCTCCAAGATTCCCTCGGTCATCTCGTTTTGCGGTAGAAAACCGCCCATTAATTAGGAAGAAGATCTATGCATAAATGATATTCCCATGGAAAATGATCAAACATTTCCCGGCGAGCCATGTTTGATTACCAGACAGTATATTCCCAATGCTGTTCATTGAAAACAGCATTCTTGGCGTCAAATCCTCACTGCGTACCCCGAATCACTCAAGCCCTGGTGCCATAGTCGCAGGTCATTACCAACACCGTGTCGGTACCCGATTGGGGCGCTCGTTCATTGCTTGTCGAAGAAAAAAGAATATGGAGCATTGGCTGTCATGCCCCCGTTGATGATTACAAGGGATATCAAGGGATTATGCTGGCCCAATTGTAGAGCTTCGCACCCCGGCGATGCCCTTCGGGTTGGAGTCGTTCGGCGGATATTGGAGCCATAATATATAAACGAGGAATAGAATAGAATACCCAAACATATACCATCTTCAGTATATCATTGTTTGCACAATCAATGATGGGAAGCCCTATTAACCAACCAGGACAATGAAATGCTAGAGTGGTTTGAACACCTCTCAACTGGAGCTGATCCGACAAGTTGAACGGGCGGAGCAACTGTGAGGCTGGAATGTCAAACCTAACTTGTGGATTGACCACCAAAGCTTGCAGGGGTTGTGAATTGATGCAGCAAAACATGGAGGTTAACTTTACACATGAATGCTTTATGTAATTGGGAATCATCCACAAGTAACCCAGTTCTTTAGGACGGCATTCTGCACAGGTGGGAACTTGGACGTCAGATCCATATTTTTCCATCTTCAGATCCATATTTTTCCATCTGACTATCCAGGCCATACCATCCAAGACTGATCCATTTTTGCAGGGTTGCTCATGCTCACTGGATTTCACAAGTAAGTTGTTCCCAGTATTTGCCAATGCAAATCCTACATTTGCAGTGAAGTTCCCATGTTGTTCAATGAAACCTCCTGTCCTTTAGGTAGGTTTGCCAGGTATCTCCGTTGCGCCGCAACATCTCAAGTTCACAGCTCTACTGTGAGGAGACATCCCACAACCATGAGGCATGCCAGTAACAAACCTTGAGCCATGCGAATGGGCTGGCTGAACTTTCATAGCGCTTGAACCATCATGATCTCACATTCTAGTATCATGTCGTATCCGATTTGGAGATGAAGAAACTTTGAGCCATACCAAAGTTCAATGGTGCCGTCGATTGCCATCGATAGACATCGCCCCAGGATGAACCCAAACAACCACCAGCTGTCACCAAGGCTTCACCCAGATACGTGAACCAAAAATCAACAGGTGGGTCAGTAACTAAACTCATTGAGCCCATTGAGCCTTGATATTTTTGAATCAAATCCTTGGAGTCTGAAAATATCACAAGTTTCTCTTAAAATAGAAGCGTTCGTCTCGAAGTGCTTTAGCAACTCTGGCAATCTTCAGCTGCTGCGCCGATCTCGGCCATGCTGAGTCCGCAGCAGTCCGCATGGCTCTATGTGCCGCGATGGATCGGTACGATGGATATGGAAACTTTGGGAGTCCCTATTTTGATACGGGGCGCGCAAGTTTCCCAACAAAACCTGGGTGCACCAAGAATCATCGGAGTAGATACCACCTGGTGATTGTGGTGAATGTTTAGCATCCAAGAGAACAGCCATCAAAGGGGGGAATCCACCTCCAATAGGACCCACATATGGATGTAACCAAGATAATAATATAACTACAAAATTATACATGATACAGAACCCAGTTCCACATGCGATGATCCCAGTAGTCAGATTAATTACGAGCTCCCTTAAGTTACTTTGGTATGGGCCCATACTAGGTATAAGTCGGCTCAACAACCTCACTTAACCCAGTTACACAACCCCACTTGGCGGTATTTCAACTAATGGGCCTTTGCTCCAACCGAGGGGTCAGAATAAAGATAGATGAGCCAAACAGAATCAAAAGTGCAACGCCTCTAGAGTTTTTTGCATATTGGAACCAGTTATGACTTTCATAGTCCTAGCTATTCCATACAAAATCTGAGAGGTGTCCCTGGCCCTTCGCTTCTCCCCCAATTATTCCACAACCGTTTGCTTATTTTGTTATCAACAACAATCAATATTAATCATTAAACAACACCAAGTACGTTCTTATTAGCGATTAGCAATGAAATTGATTGCCAGTCGCTATTTACTACCCAAAATAGCTTTGATTCTGATGATTGGTTGTTTTTACCTCTCATCAACCTCAATTACTAGCATCAGCCATTTTAACAGCCAATAAGTAGGCATTTAATAGTGATGAACGGTTGACAATAACCAATACGCGTTCTCAACCACGCTAGTCACTAGCTACGTTTAAATTCAGTGTTCATCACGAACCTAATCCCGCTACAATTTACCCATGGTGACCTTATCGCCTTATCCCTTGTAACCGCTAGTGTCACTCATTGTTGAACTATCTTCCAATAGAAACTCACCATCACCGGGATACTCCAGTAATCCACCATATTAACCATACCCCCCGAACACCGCCAACATTCGCCAACTTTTTTCCTCGAAAGGAATTCTCCAGCAACACCTCCATTAACCTCATTAACATTCATTAATCCCAATTACAGGGTGGATGATCCCATCCCAACAATCCATCGAATTCTCCCAGGCCCTGCCCAGTTTGACGGTGATCACCGCGTGCCTGGCGCCTGTCCTGCTCTTCGCCCTGCGCTCGCTGTCGGCCTCGCAGCCGACAGCCCGGGAGTCCTGGCAGCTGGCACTGCGCTCGCCCTTGTGCCGCGGCAACGGATGAGGGGAGGTGACCAAGGGAAATCATTGGTTTATGGAATCAAAAACGTGTGTGTATGTATGTATGTATTTGTTTTTATGTGGGGATAGATATGTATATTTATATGGGGATAGATATGTATATTTATATGTTCCTCATGTATGTGCATGTAATCTGGATAGACATGAAAGCAAGCATCAAAATAGGTGAAGGGATCATGAGTTGCCAGCAAAGATGAGGGATTTCTTGGATATAAAGCTATCCTATGGGACGTACTGGAATACAATGGGGTTGTACTAATGGGGTGTATAGCTAACCTGGATATGATGAGTGTGCCGGCAAAAAAATGCAGAGCAGCAGCCACAACCAAAAAGGATGACATTACCATTACTTTACCAGCAAGAATGGAGTTCAGTCCGTGAAAACGGAGCCGTAAGAGATGGAGGTTCAAAATGAAAAATTGTGGTTTTTCATACTAGCCAAATATAAAGTCATTTGGAAGATGATGCTCGGGATGTGGAAAGCCAATTTTTTGAATTGGCAGGCGGGGGCCATCCACACAGAATATGGTTTACCCAGTAAATGTTTCATAAACAGAGGTATATTGACCAGCCCAAGGTGGGTTATGATGATGCTGGAAGGCCGGATGATATAACTACGAGGTAGACAGTGGAACATACCATGGTTCTTTAAGAAGCTACCAGTTATTTATGCGCGTCTCCACTCCACTTCCCATGTATCAATCCTTCCAGGATCAATCTGGCAACCGGGGGTTGGTTTTGAAGATAATTGCAGTAGGATTCTTTCTGGGCGTCGCTCATTAGGAGTTCCGGGGGTCACTCATGGTCACCCTGTTTTTTTTAAGTGGATAGGGGCCACCATCAGATTCACTTACAGAAACGATGCCATATAAAGGGAACGGGTATCATATTGTCTCTGGGGGTGAGTTTAACCATGAGGTGATACTTGAGAGCCTTTTGCCAGTTGTCCAGAAAGTGAAGCACACGGGCAAGCTCACGCAAAGAAAGGGGGAACCCTTACTCTCCTTGGAAAAGAGACACCAGAGAGCCAGGATCTGACATTGTCCAAGTGCGTGTTGCTTTCGCAAAGAGGACTTGAGGACAACAGAGTTTGCTGCACGCCGCTTTGCCAGTAGGCACCCGAGCATGTGACCGAAAAGTCAAGTGGCTGACACACTTGGCTCAAGGGAGCGAGCGGACTTAGATCAAAGAAGCGAAAAAGGAATAATCAAACACACTCGTCTATCAAAGAAGAGTGTTGTGAAACATATCAAAGGAAATAGAAAAGATTTGAAAATTTCAAGAAGTTTCTATCTGATTTTGTTTAGCTAGTTACCATCCACGGGCTGAGCCCGTGCGCATTTTGGGGCAGCTGGGTTGAATGTGATACTCGTCGGTTTGTTCAGCAATTTTCAAAACCAAGCGAACACTAATGGTGAACCTTGATGAACAGTTGGTGTTGTGAAATTGTTTTTCCTATGTTGGTTGAGGAATCTTTCATTGACTTGGTTCGATTCACATCGAAGGTTATTGAAGCTAAACTTCACTATGATGAGAAAGGAATGGTCACCATCATTTGAAGGGCATTGTCTTGCGAGAGCAGTTGGAACTTCCACGCAGGCCATTGCAAACCAGTTCGGAATCGACAGCGGGGAGAATTCAATTCAAAATCGGGGTTCAAGGTGACAAGATGATGGTGACGTAGTCTACGATACTGTACTCAAGATCAAGACTCCCTAGTCATCATTGGATGCCGGTCCCACGAACTCGCAACCTAACCTGGCAATTTCATGAGTGAAATAAAGATAATAAAAGAAAATCATCTGATCACTGGGGATGTTCCGTTGCACGATTACATGACCGGTATGCAACGTGCGATCCTTCCACGGCACCTGAGGTCTATAGTATCGTTGACGATCATCCTTTTGAGCCCCATCTTTCTGCTGTCGAACTACAGACCCTTGGACAACAACTGCACTGCGTTGCGGCTGGTTGGCGAGTCTGAAGCCCATTGAAGCCCTCTGAAATTCAACACGGAACCCAAAAGAATCACTAATCTACTTGAAACCATCCACGTGGAGCGGTCTATCCGAGTCCCAGTTATCGTTGGTCCAATCAGAAAGACAAAATAGTCTACTCAGATATATAGACATGTGCGGTTAAAATCCAAGCAAATTGAACTACATCTAAAGAATAGAAAGCTATCCATCCCGGTAATTAAGTATCTGACCATCCCACAACCAGCAAATGTCGCCCAGTTTTCCAGTAGTCCCATCCCATTCCTCCCAGATATGAACACAAAGAGCAGCTATCCCCAAACCCACTGAGTACATGAGAAAATCTCAATCTTTCAAAACAAGCAGTTATGTTGCAATTGATGGTCCCAATCAAGAATCAATATCCATCAATATTTTCACATCAATACCCATCAATACCTCAGATAATAACTCCACGAAAAAATCCCAAAGCCATCAAGGTGTCAGCAGTCTGTACCTCTTCGCCGTCTACTGCGTGGTCCTGGCCTGCGCCAACTTGTTGGCCGATAAGGTGGGCCAACGGCGCCGTGCCCCTGGGCGTCAGCTTGAACAACTGGAAAGACACGGGGATGGCTGGGAAGTCAGTGGTAAAGTGGGAGATGTCATTGGTTTCACCATCCAAAATGATGGCTTCACCCAAGAAATTGGTGATTGAACCGCTAGAAATAAAGATTTCAATGGCCAAACTGGAGATTTAATCAATGAATGATGGATACGGGGGGGCTATGATGGGATGTATGGGAAGATCATGTATCAAATGAGGATATGTTCTGGGATACGACGCAACTAACCAACTTGATATGTTAATTGGGTGTCCCAGAAAATGGGGTCTATTGAAAGTGTCAGTGCAATAAGGAAAACGATGCTGAATCAGTAGATTTAATGCAAATAGTTTTGCCCGTTCTTCAACTAAACATATTTCGCACCCTTCTAAATCGGCGCAACATGGACCCAATATGGATCCAACATGGGCCCAACAATTGCGGCGTTCATCTGGGTACTCCCGAGACGAACCAGATGAACACACAGAAGGTGGCATAAATTAGGCTTACAATGCCCAGTATATGCTTGATAAAGGACCCGAGCTCACCCAAATTTTGGTCAAAATCTTCAAAAATTGCCAGCGGCTAGCATCGCCTCAACACGGCTGCCTACTATCGGTCCTACCTCTTCATAAAGAATATTGAGTGCAAATCTAAGATCAGGAGCTCTGGTAAGAGGTGTCGCATGTATCCGCCAATCTACCACACGCGTCAAAGCAGAAGGCCAAGATCAGGAGATAGTAGCGGGCGTTTTCACATGGAGACCCTTTGCTACGCAAACATTGCCATGAAGTTGCTGGAGGGGAACCTATTGGTTCAAATCCCACCTATATGGGATAAACATATGTTCGAAGGAAGTTTAGAAGTCAAACTTCCGACAATATGGAGAGATGAAAAGCAGAGCAGGGAAGAGGCATAGAGAAGAGAAAGATCAGAAGAGAAAGAGTAAGAGGACAGAAGATACAGATGCGCGAAAAGGTAGGAAAGTCGCGAAACACGTGTTTTTTTCCATGATTTGTGGCTCCGGAGGGTCGAAAAGTAGGCTCGCTAAAGCGGCGGGTGCGGAGCCATCTGGCCGAGGGAGAGATGAAAAATTGCACGCCGTTGTGGCTAGAAGCACATTTCCCAGTCAAAATGTAAAAACACCTCAAGCGTCGGGACCATTTTTTGAAGTTGAGATGTCAAAAGTGCACGCCGCGTTGTGGTGCGAATCACAGTCCAAGTCAAAATGTCACAACAACACTCAGCTTCGGGACCACTTTTGGAGGTTGCGATGTCGAAAAAGTGCACGCCGTTGTGGCGCGAAGCACATTTCCAAGTCAAAAGTGTTAAAAACTGGCGGTCTCGGACCACTTTTGGAGGTTCAGATGTCGAAAAGTGTCGAAAAAGTGCACGCCGTTGTGGCGCGAAGCACATTTCGAAGTCAAAAGTGTAAAAAACTGAGGGTTTTGAGCCTTTTTGACGTGAAGATGTCGAAAAAGTAGACACTGATTAACTTAACTAACTTGACTAACTTAACTAACTTCACTAACTTAACTACCCTAACTTCGACGACAACAGCAACAGCAACAGCAACAACAACAACAACAACACCAACCACAACAACACCAACCACAACAACTACAAAAATGACCGCTACAACAACAAGCCACCACAACAGCTACTACTACTACTACACCACGACTACTACTAACTACTCCTACTAACTACTACAGCAACAACTACAACTACAACAACTACACCCCAACTACTCCTACTACTACTACAACTACAACTACACTACACAACAACTACAACCACACAACAACTACAACTACAACAACTACAACTACAACTACAAAACAACTACAGCTACAACTATATGACTGCAACTACACTACACCAATTACATTAATTACACCACAACTACAACTCCACTACGCTACAACTACAACTACAGTTACAGTACATCACACTACATCCAGCAGTTGTGGGTGAGGTGACCACTTCAACCATTGCAACCATTCCAGCAAACACAACTCCAACCACCTTTCGGTCAATCAGTGGCTTCGCTCTGCCATCCCTGATTCACAACAACCAATCTCTCCTATAGGTTTCCTATTTTTGAAACTTCCGCCACCGCCTTGTGCGGTACTACTGGTACAAAATAAACGGGCTACTAATTATGTTCAATACTGGCTATTGTCCACCCAAAAATGAAGAACTGCACATCTTGGATTTTGCAAAAGTCCGAGGTGTGGATCGCATTGGCAGTTTGGCACCTCTTCAATCTTTTGACGCTCGAAGGGAGATGCTGGGGTGGTCGTCGGTTGGCTGAGTACATCAAGACATCAAAATGTTGGATTTACTCAGCGACATGGTAGCATGGGACCTAATGGGGTCTAGAACACAGAAATTTACCGAAGAACATGTTGGGGATATATGTTGAAAGCTGCCTGAATGGTGAACGGCCGGTGAAAGGGTTGATGTGTTGTCATATGTTGTCATTAAATGCAGGTGGGGAGCATGCTACGGCAGTGAAAGCAGCTGGGAAGGTTGGTTGGCCATGGAATGAGATCCCTGGAACCTTCCCAAAACCGAGGGGGTGACACTTGACCGGTGTGGATTCCATGCTAGGCGCCCCTCGTGATGCCGTGGGGTTTGGCCAGAATGAAGGATAGAAGTCCGGTTTTTAGGGCATTGATTCTTGTAAGTGGCTCGCCACCAAAGGGGCGTTAACACATGGTGAAAATCTGTTGGCTGAGGAATTTGCTGGGTGGCAACTTGAGCCTCCTACAGCCTTACAGGCAGCCGGGATTGGGGGCCGGCTGGAAGTGGGGCTAAATACAGCGACAAATATTGAAAAAAGATTGCAAAAGTGAGTTTGAAGTTTGAACCCCCGAAAAGGATGGTGCAATCATGCTATGATTGAGATACATGCTTTTTCATGGGTTCTATGTATGTCACCACCAAAAGCTGTGCAACTAAGAATGATGAGCTGGTAAGTTGTGCACAGCACTGGTGATGAGATTGCATTCCGGGATCCTAAAACTGCACGTTGGAGTTCAGAGGAGAACTCGAATTACCATGACCTTTGAATGTCACACAGATGGCCAGCCGAAGGGTTAGGTCATGTTTTCATGGGACGGTTTACACATGTTTGGAACCCCAAGCAGCCAGACACAAATCGGTGATAAATCCTGGAAGTGAAGATTCCGTACACAAGGAGCGTTTGTTTGGGAAGCCACCAGACAGTCCATTCATATCAAGGTAGTTATCTAATCTGACCCATGCGTAACCCATAGATATATATATATATAATGTATATATAATGTATATATAATATACGATTATTTCATGTGTATGAACCCTCCAAAAAAGAATGGAAAGCGCAAAAAAGGCCACTGAAACTCAAATTGTGATAAACCCGACCTTTTATGCGTTGTTTTCTGGTTGCTACCTGCAGCCCACTGGCCCACTGGTCGTTGCCAGGACAGCGCAGCAAGGTTTGCTGCCCACCATCTTCCAGGCATAGAGCAGTTGGGCACGACACGGGATGATCCAATCAGTTGTCTTTCCCACAGAAGCAACAGAAGTTGGATTTGTTTCTCATATCATTCAGACAAAGGATGTGTAAGGTCCTTAAAAGAATTGAATGTCAAAACGATGGGATTTCCAATGCTGGTTTGCATACTTTGAAGAGGCAGCATGAAAACGATAGATAGATGACATGGCACCTCTCGAGAAGCTGTTTGATGATCGATACACTGCAGGACTTGAGGACATGAGACAGCCCCAGCATTTATCGTCATTGTTCGTGATAGCCCAAAGGGTCACTATACCCCTTCGGTCTGACGTATCATGGCTATCTCCTCAGGATTTCCCTGCCTTCATATTCATGCCCGCTCAAATATGATGTGGCATGTTGCTTCGCGGTTTCTTTTTGGTCTAAAAACATTCCCTGAGACAATGATTCCTATGAACAACTTTGTTTGAGTAAAGCCAATGAGCACGTGTTAAACCACTTTCCTGACACTCCTAGGTTTGAAAGGATTGAACAACAAGCCAGTTGGCTGTGTCAAGCTGATAAGAGATGCGAAAACTCAAGTTGCCAGAACTCAAGCATAGAATCATTCAGTGGAATGCTTTTTGTAAAAAGGGGCAGTAAGCACGCTGGTTTTTCAGCAGGCCATGTCAGATTCCTGGTAGATATCCTGTCCTATTCGTGCTGGTTCTTCCCGCGGTATTGGAAAATACGTCATCCCATTTCTTACCGGCCAAATTTCCATTGGTGTTGGCAGCCATCGAACCCCACCTCTTCATGCTGCATGTCAAAGTTCCCATCTCTTGCTGCTCCGATACCATTTTTCCCATGTTTCAACAAGTCATCCCCTCAATTGCTGGTTGAAAAGCACATTCCACCCCAGGTTCTCCCAATTTTTGCCCGGTAAATCCCCTATTTTCTCTCGCTGAGCTACCCGCTTTTTTGACCATGTCTTGTTGACCCGTTGGCCCATCATCCAACCGGCAGATTTCTGGCACGGCGGGCGGATCCTGTGAGTACTACCGGGCGTGGGGCCTCAGGATCTTGACGGATCTTGGCTGAAATTGATGAACTCGAAATGGCTGGGATTTATGCATGTTCCCGCCAAAATATGGTACAGCTTTTGGCCCGTCCCCAAATGAATTTGCTTACCATGAGAAATGGGTTTGCCCGAGAACTGGGGTATACCATCAAAGAGTGTCAAAGATGCAAAGTCTTTAAAGTTATCAGGAAAATGACGATGACCCATGGGATTTAGGGGCGTTTGGTATCTTTTCTCAGACGGCCACAAATGAAGACTTTACAAACAACATGGTGTTTCTTTTCAACACATGGGGGGTGTTCACACAAAATCATGTGTTTCATTGGGCATGATTAAAGAAAGGATGCACATAGATGTATGAACCCCAGAAAAGTGGTAGAATCACTCAACACGGTAACAACTTCTCAATAATTCCGCTTAAGCAGTCGGGCCAAATAAGAAAAAACGGTCATCCTTTCTGAAATGGGTAAGTTGTAAAAAATGCTTATCTCGGCCAATGGGGAAATAGAAAAAGTGGAGATGGAAGACAAATTTGTTCTGTCCAACAACTGTTCAGTTTGTCGGGTTGTTGTCATCTATGTCAGGTTATTAAGAGTTGGCTTGCAGCCCACCCCGCAGCAAAAAGTTGATCACCAACTGGGCCGTTTTGCACACACCAAAGGTTTGAGTTACGCCAAGGATATTTCAACCTGACCTATCCAACCCCCATGAAATGTCTCCAGGGTAAACCTGACCGCCAGAGGTCGATTGGTGTGAGGATTCGTGGATCACTTTCCAAATGATCCTTGGCACCGACACAGGTCACTTGTGGTCGTTAAACCATCAAATCCTTGCTGGTAGCCCTTGGGTAAACCTTGGATGAATACATTTTAGTACAACTCAATGTTTTTGGGGTAGATGGGAGATACTTACTAACCATCTAAAGATCATTTTTTGCAGGGTATCTAAGATGGACATGTTGATAGTTACTCGGTGGTTACTCCAGTGCTACCCCTTTGTAACTTGCCCTGCAAACCATACTCACCTATTTTGCTGATCATTTGTTGCTGGCCGATAGTAGACCCACCTAGTGATAGGGTTTGTCGTCTACCATGGTGACAAGGGCTGAAAATTGTGACCCCTGGGGTAAAGACAGAAAACATGGTAGCCTACTTGCTATATCTGGGGGTATTCGTCAACAATGTGGTAGTGAAAAGCTTGGCTCCCAAGGGTGTGTGAAGTTTCATACGGCATTAGCATGAAGAGTTTGGTTTGGGATTGGCAACTTCACCTCAGCAATGTGAAGTCGAGGATCTTTAGTCACTTTAGTCGTTGGAGTTTAAAAGACCACTGTGGATCAGAACCACAAGAAAACACTGGTACTCGAAGTGAGCGCATGTTCCAGTTGCGCTTTCCCAAGCTGCATGTGCATGTTGCGGCGTTTGAAAATCAACTGTTGCTGATAGTAATTTCAATTTTGCAGTTGTCGTTTTTGATCCCCAAGAATCCACCAGCCAGGATTGTTGCATTCGCGTACATCATCTTGCATGTCGTTGCATTCTTCATTGTGCCTCGCATGGCTGAAGGTCTCTTCACAGCTGGGATTTCAACTGAAAATATCAGGATGCCCAGGAAAAGGGGATGGGTCAGACTTGGATACCGCAAGCATATGCCTGTTATTTCCTCTGAAACGACCCATTGTGTGGTTGCTTAGGTATTTGGATGCTGAAACCCAGCGAGAAATAACCCCTCCCTTGGTGATGTTTACAGCAATTGCTTGGGGTGGGGCCAAAAGACAGCCAAGGAAATTGATACGGAAGCAGACAGCTCAGGTTTGATATGTTTTTTCATTACTGCTGTATCCCAATTCAACCCCGATTCAACCGAAATAATGTTAGATATTATGCCCCCGTTTTATTGCAAACATATGGGGATGATTTCAGATCTTTGTTTTTATTGCAAACATATGGGGATGATTTCAGATCTTTGTTTTACATCCTCCGATGATGAACTTTGCAAAGCCTGGTCGCATTGCTGAAGAGATGGTCAATCCGCTGTGCAACAGAAGTGGATACTTTTCTTCGTAAACTTATTGTTGTTGGGCAAACGGTTGGATTTGTAGCCATCCCTTCTTAATGGCTCAGAATGTGGGCATGGTCTCTTCTTTAATGATATAAACTATATAACTATATCCATCTATATCCAACTATACAAAACCCAAAGGGTACCCATCCAGAAATATACATAGATAGTTTGTACCCCATAAAACCCCACATATTTTACGGGAAGCCAGAAATCCACATTGTGCCCCAGAATGCCTGGTTCAAATCCCCTTGAAACTGTTGATTATCATTGTTGCAACCCCTGATCTTTCAGCAGATACTGGATGATCTTTCAAGCTACATAAATTCCACAACGCCACCTGTTAATGTTCCCATGTTGCTCAGATGTTAACAATATTTGCTTGATTGCTGCTGGAAAAATCCCAAATTATATTATGTTTGTTTGGCTGAAGGATTTAATCATAGAGCCACATCTTTTGCCGTTTTTATCTACCATTGTATTTAATTGCCTTCGGCAAGCCCGCCGGCCATAGAGAGGTGGCCCCAAGGGAGTTTGATGCGCAGTCTAGGTGGAAGCCCGCGAGAGAAGCAGAAGAGAAAAGAAGGAGAAGAAGAAGAAAGGAAGACGAAGACAAAGCCGTAAAACGGAAGCGGCTTGTGTGGTAAGTGCTGGCTGTAACAATATTGATCGTATACCAAATTAGTACCGCCCCCAGCAAAGTGGCGCCAGGTACTATGTATTAGCCTCTGGCTTGACAGCAGACCGCTGCATGGAAGGAGACAGGGTGGAAGCGGAGAGAGATTGCCCCAAGGGAAGTTGATGTGCACGCTAGGTGGAAGCCCGAGAGCGAAGCAGAAGAGAAGAGAATAAGAAGAAGAGGAAGAAGAAGAGACGAAGACAGAGCTGTAGATCAGAAGCAGCTTGGGTAGCAAGTGCCTGCTTGAACAACCTATGGACCGCATACCAAATGAGTGCTGGTCAATCAGTTTAGTACCGTGCACGTCCTGTGACGAGTACATGTAGACGGCTGTAAAGCTGTAGGCAGTGTCATCAGCTACCGGCACTACCAGTTTAGTATTTCGGGAAGAAGGGAGGAAGGAGTAGAGGAGTAGAAGTAGGAGTAGAAGTAGGAGTCGGCGTCGGAGTAGGAGTAGGCGAAGGAGTAGTAAGCAATAAGCAGTAAGTAGTTAGTAGTAAGTAGTTAGTAGGTAGTAGGTAGTAGGTGGTGGTAGTGGTGGTGGTGGTGGTGGTGGTCGCGGTAGTGGTAGTAGTGGTGGTTGTAGTGGTGGTTGTAGTGGTGGTAGTAGTAGTAGTAGTCGTCGTCGTAGTAGTAGTAGTAGCAGTAGTCGTAGGCGTAGTCGTAGAGTCGGAGTCGGAGTCGTAGGAGTAGTAGTAGTAGTAGTAGTAGTAGTAGAGGAGTAGTAGTAGTAGCAGCAGCAGTATTAGTAGCAGTAAGATTAGGAATAGTAGTAGGTAGCAGTAGGAGTAGGAGTAGTAGTAGGAGTAGGAGTAGGAGTAGTAGGAGAAGAAGAAGTAGTAGTAGTAGTAGCAGTAGTAGTAGTAGTGGCAGCAGTAGCAGCAGCAGCAGTAGTAGTAGCAGCAGCAGCAGTAGTAGTAGTAGAAGAAGTAGTAGAAGTAGATGTAGATGTAGAAGTAGAATCAGAAGAAGTAGGAGTAGAAGTAGAAGTAGAAATAGTAGAAGAAGTAGCAGTATTAGTAGCAGTAGGAGTAGGAGTAGTAGTAGGAGTAGGAGTAGGAGTAGTAGTAGTAGTAGTAGGAGTAGTAGTGGTAGTGGTAGTAGTTGTGGTAGTAGTAGTGGTAGTGGTAGTGGTAGTGGTAGTGGTAGTGGTAGTAGTAGTAGTAGGTGGGAGGGGGGGGGGAGGGGGGCAGGGGGGAGGGGGAGGGGGGGGTGGACTTGATTCAGACGAAGCAAAAACGCGCAGCGAGAGAACAAAGGAACAAGTACAAGCCAAGAACAGAAACAAGAACAACGCCTTCCAATCAGACAGGCCGGCAGGCCGGCAGATTCTCATACCATTCCCATACCAGGCTCATACCATTCTCATACCATTCTCTGCTTCTCTCATTATACATTATTCCCTGATTATCTATCGCATTAAGCCTCATCAGTTGTATAAACCCTGGAAAACCACATCCACGACCGTTGTCGTCAAGCTATCCAGGAAGTAATTGATCCAGATGATTTTCTAATATTTGCCAATATATCTAGATGAAAACCGGCTGATTCTAGGTAAAAAAACACCAGAAAACCACATTCATCCCCATCATCATAAAGCTATCCGCAGTTGACCCCATAAACCTTGATGAACGACATTAAACCCAATGATGTATCCACCAATAGAGATTGAAAGGATCAATTGCATGGAGTGCGGGATGGATTAAAGAGTTACAGAGCTGGATGTTTAGCAGGATGCATGACTGGAATTGCCAATCCCCCGATAGGAAATACCCTATAGAAAAACCTCTATGGAGGTTTCCTAAAATGGGGATGATCTGTTTTTGTTTCGACCTTTTGTGACTGACGCTCTTGATTCACAAATGCCGATCATGGCCCCACAGCTTTCACATGGCGATGCTAGCGGGTGTTGCAGGGTTGGCAGATGTCAAGGTGGGGCCACCGCGCACTCCGCACCGGCAGCGGAGCTGTGATCCTGGCAACCTTCTGTGCACATTGTCTCCAGGGTGGAGAAGCAGATCGGCTAGAGGTCGACAAGCCGCAGATTACTTTGCTGCATTGATGAGCGGGACCCCCATGGACATTTCTGCTAAACTCTGTACACACGCTATTTGTGGTGCTCCTTGACGTTGCTGAGTTTCTGGCCATGGTGGCAGGCGGAGACGACATTGCCATGGCCATAGAAGGTGCGGGACCTCGACACGTGTGAAGGCCGAGATGGTGGCCGCGGCTGAGCCACCCCCAGCAGTGACACCTGCTGCTGAAGCTGAAGACCTTTAAGGTCCGACTGCTGAAGGACATCCAAGCGGTGAAGACCGGAGACTTGTGGATCCCCCATGAACCCCCCATATCCATTTATGTACAACCGTTCAATCCATTTTATATCTGGGTTGATCGCCCCCAGGTGGGGCTGCGGGCCGTTGAAGAGCCGGCCATGAACTATTCCATGCGCGAGAGCAGCGAGGCGCGTTTGAATGTAGTGACATAGTGATGGGATATGATGGGATTATAATATATTGTTTAAGGTTAACCATGGTTGAGAAGAATGGTTGGGGATGGCTAGTGATAGGATTAGTGATCACACGCGTTTAAAAAATTATGGGCTTCAATGATTAAGAATGGTTACTCAATGGTTTTTCATGAGTCATAGTGGTCTAGGATGCTACCCCATCGTACTGATTAATACTGTTTAGTGATGGTTAATGACGATTAACGGTTTCTCTAAATTGAGTTCCTGATGTAACTCCTTAATCCATGGTTCCAAAGGCGGTTGGAAGTTTCAAGATCCGTATTAGCCACCACTACCCGGCCGATATCATGAGCCGAGGAAGGCCAGCAACCGGTGGGATGAGCAGGTCACTGCACAGCACAACTCCGGCACAGGTCGCCGGCGGCGCTGAGCCCTTTTGACTGCCTTCGCCATAGCATACAGGGCACGTTGCCGTGCCAATGGCGGACTGGGATGGATTTTTGAATTTTCTGATGTTTCATTCTTGGTATGTGTCATTACAAAATAAAAAGTATATACAGTATAGATTTATTTTGCGTGTATGTTTAGAACATTTTCTGTGCATTGATTTGCCATTAGGTGATGGATGTGTTTATTTACTGTTCGAAACTCCTTGTTGGCCCATTCAGCGGCGCAAAGTTTGACTTCGATGGGCCCAAAGCGGTACCGGTGAGTGTCTCCCTCTTTGGGGAAAAAGTGGACGCAAGTATTGCCGCTGATTTTTTGAGGGGTTGAAAGCGTGCATCGCTCCCTAAAATTTGTCTTTGTACATTTCAAACAGAGCCTCAGTCTGCCCTACTTCCACTGCTGGGGCTCAGAATTCGCTGCCATTGCCGCGGCGTTGCCGCGGGCCTGTCGCCATGGGCACCACCGGGTCCTGCGATTCGGGCGGCTGCAAGCAATGCTGCCGGGGCCCAGGGCGGGCCACAGGGCCACAGGGTCAGAAATTGAAAAACAACGAGAATTTTCACCCAAAGTGTTAGGGTTTAGTGGGAGTAGAATAGGAATAGAATTTGGAAGCACTAGCATTTACAGCTAGGGGTAGAACAATTGCAGGAATTTTGATCAGCAAATATGGCGGTTTAAAAACCAGCCATGTTTGGAGGAAAAGGAGCTGGACCAACAAAAGTTGGAGGCACAATAGATGTCACAACAGGGATATCAAGAGATATAATAGACATGTAGTTAAACGCACTATGGTTTTTGGGAAGATACCCCAGGAGAACCATGGCTTGGGATATAGTGGGATACTCAAGCACTAGTAAGATTTGGGCGCGTCGAAAAATTGGGGACACCTTTTCCACTTAATGGGGAAAACTGTGATGGATCACTGGATTTAGGGATGCGTCATTTTGGACAGACCGATGTGGAGAATCCAGCATGTTTAGATCACTGTCTGGGGGTTTGTGACAAACATGGGTAGTTCGTCTCACCAGTAAACAGTGTGCGTGAAACCAAACGAAGATAACCAGTCAGAATAATAGTAACTGGTTCACAACCATGCTCAATTCCTCACTGGGGCCATCCCACAGCTGGGGCATCACTGCTACTAATCCCTGGTGCGGAAACCCATAGACGACAATGGCTATATTTTCGCTCACCCAACGATAATAGAAGTGTGGTAAACCGTTGCATGTCCCACTAACAACTGGGTGAACTAACCATAGCCAGTTCCTGGTTGTGGGACATTCACGTCAATGCCAAATTGTCCCAGGCGAAAAGAAATGCCAGGGCCCGTCCGGTGCTGAGTTCCGCAGTCATCACACGAAGAGAGAGTGGTAAACCCCTGCTGTTGATGATTGTCAATAGGATACTGATGGGATAATGATGGATTTATACTACCTACTAAGGGGTTCCCAGTCTTCACCAACCAGTATAAAGGAATGGCAGGGCAGGGGCTCTTACATTGGTGACCAGTCGGTATTAGGGCGGATGGTTCAATGAACAGTTTGTTTTGCATTATGATGGTGTCTTGTGGAGACCGTCCATGCAATGATTAGACATGCAATGGTTTTTTGTCCGCGCCTCTACCTGCTATAAATCGGGCAATTTCGACCCCTCAATTTGGAATGGTGGCTCGAACTCAACAAGCCAATGCGGACGTTGCGCGCATGTCATGTTCGCTGTTCAATGCTTACGCGCCCAATAGTTGTGCTACCCACCCTTGTTCTTGTAAGCTCCTTGCAGCTCTGATTGTGCTTCTCAAGCCCCTGTAATTCAAATTCTTTGGTGCTTCGCATTTTCTGTAGATGACACTGGGCGTGCTAAAGGCCGCAGTCGGATCAAACTGTGGGTTTTTGTTCCCAGGATATCCCCCCTATCTGCGCTGATGATTGTCGGTAGGACATGCCTCCATCCTGTTCCGAACTTGTTTGAACTGGGTAGACCTAAAAAGCCCTATTGGTTAAGAGGTTGTTTTCTTAGCCGTGCAGAGGAGAACATATTGAACATAGCACCACAACTACCAACTAATTACATCCAAGATATCCTGGGTTTGATGAAAACCCTTTCTTTTGCTGGTCAAATGCTAGATGTTGATAGATGTTGCATGGTATCTAAGGTAACCATAGGTACCCAATGTACCAAGCCATCGCTCCTTACCGAGTCACCAATTCTTCACTGCGCCTAGGTCGGAGATGCAAGAGTATCAGCCGCAAAACAAGAAGCAGGCGGAAAAAATCGGAATGGATTGGAAGAAAAAACGACGGCAACAATAAGGTTTTAATAGGGCTGAATGGGGATTTCATAGGGTTTACTGTGGTTTGTATAGGGGCTAACCATCAGAAATTGGATTTACCGAACACGAGACGGTTTGCCATATTAAGCTTTGCCATAGAAGCTACAAGGCCGGGATAATCATGTTTGACCAATCAGATCTGCGCCACTTTCCGGCGCCACGTAGCGAGAACGAGAACCATATGGGACATTTATGGCCACATGGTTGGCGATTAGTTGGTAAATGGTTGGTGCATGGTTGGTAAATGTGTATGTTTTCTGTTGCGCGTGGATTGACCCACCAAAACATGGATTCAGCCTGGCAAAGGGTTGGGTTTATTTGGACCAAAGGTGGTTCATCAATAACATTTGAAAAGGCTTTGGATGGTTTGGTTAATGGTTTTGGTTTTTTAACGGAGATGGTGAACCTTCCACAAAGATTGCCTTGCTTCAAGGGCATCGAATTCTAGCTATGAACACATCCCCAACGACCGCCCATAGAGAAACAGCAGTCTACAGTGGTGGGAGCCCTTCAGCCGGCAATCGGCATCACCTCTTCGTTGAAGAAAGTTCATCGTGCTGGTTTAACCCCATGTGTCATCATATTTGGGTGAAAGATCCACGCTTGATCATGTGTTTAAGGGCCAAAATCACAACATGTCTGGTGATGCGCGAAACATTGGTGTACGCGTGGGTTCATGACGGGCTTCGGGACTGGCTTGATGAGAAGAAGAAGGTCTTGGAGCAGCTGCGAGATGCAAAGCCGAAGGACGCGCCAAATGGCATTTGCCCAGACTACTCGGCAATGTCTTTTGAACCGTCTTTTTTCATTGCGTGCTTTGTGAACAAGCACCATGCGGTCCGGAAGAGGTTGTTTTTGCCCATCCACCTATAACGACCCAAGGCGGTGTTTGCATCCTACCTACATAACCTGCTGCACAATACCCTACTTCTTCTTTCATGTCTTACACGAAGTTGCAAGATGTTTTGCACGTTTCAGAAATGTTAGGGTAACATATGGGCCCAAATCATGGACACCCAAGAATGGATGTGTTTTCTACTCACCGCCAATTGGGTGGGCCCAGCGGGTGAAGCTCGAGAAGTTTCGCTTTTTGACAAACGAGTCCCGCCAGAAGCACCTGTCCCCATCTGACATGGATTCATCTTGCCTCGCGGCAATCTCTTCCACATTTTCAACACCCTGCAAAAGAAACCTTGGACCCATCCTGTGAATAACTATTGGTTATACCTTTATAATTGCTGCTTGGGTGGGTACAGCAACTTTATGTTTTAAACCACATGTTGTTGGGAGACGGAGTGATTTTCCATCCCTGCTAGCTATATCCAATTGTCGTATAGGTGAAGACACAATTTGCCGAATTCCAACCCTAGCCAATTTTATTCATGTTTCTTGTGGGTTATCTTCCCATTCCGCGAACGGCTCCAGAACATAATCCCATCTAACCCGCATCCACCCCATCTATCCCGGTCTAACCTAATTAATGTGGTAAACCCAATGCCATAGACCTACCATGTGGGGATTGTTTTTACAACCCAGGTAAGTTAGGGGGCCCATCTATCCCGGTTAACCCACCGGCAGATGCTGAAAGAATCCGTCGAGATGCACCCGCCTGCCGCGGTGAAGCGCTCGGAGGTCGCATCGATGTCGGGTCGACATTGCTGCCGGGCCGGCAAGAACTGGGGGGTAACTAAGGCCACCATGAAAATCCCATCAAAGCAACCCAAAAAAGACTGGAAACCCATGGTTTCACGAAAAAAATGCACCTTGTCCGCTGGACAGACAGCCGTAATGCGCGAAAGAGTTCTCATTGTTGATTGGGATCCGCTATGTCCATCTTCTCGTAGTTACCAATTAAAACATAGGCCTCACATTTTGCAGGTAGAAAACGGCAATTCCCAATGTGCATGAATAAGAGACCTGTTTTTCGCAACACATGGTTTTCCCACACACACACATGCGCGAAAAATAAAAGGACCGGATAACCCCGCAAGTCAACTTCTTCCAAGAATGAGCAAGAAATGTTGTAGCGGGGACGGGGACGGAAGGAAAGACAAAGGAGGAGGTGGAGGAAAGATGGTGTGTGACAAAGTTGTGTGTGTGAAAGATGGTGTGGCGAAAGATGGTGTGTGACAAAGATGGTGTGTCAAAGATGGTGTGTGACAAAGTGGTGCGTGAAAGATGGTCTGTGACGGTGTGTGAAAGATGGTGTGTGTGTGTGTCAAAGATGTGGTGTCAAAGATGGTGTGTGAAAGATGGTGTTTGACAAAATGGTGTGTGAAAGATGGTGTGAGAGGCAGCCCAGAGCTCATCCAGGAGGCTCTGCGTACTGCGCCTGCCACACGACAGCCAGCCGCGGCCCAGCGGTGACCACGCGCGCACCAGTAATGCAGGAGGCTCTGTGTACTGCGCCTGCCACACCACAGCCAGCCGCGGCCCAGCGGCGACCACGCGCGCATCAGCTCCGCCAGGAGGCTCTGTGTACTGTTACTGCGCCTGCCAAGCGGCAGCCAGCCGCGGCCCAGCGGCGACCACGCGCGGAGCAGCTCCGCCAGGAGGCTCTGTGTACTGCGCCTGCCACACGGCAGCCAGCCGCGGCACACGTGCGCAGCAGCTCCGCCAGGAGGCTCTGTGTACTGCGCCCAGCCAGCCGCGGCCCCGCGGCGACCACAAGTGGTGTGATGAGTTGTGCTGTGATGAGCGCTGTGTGATGAGGTGGTGTGAGAGCTGTGATGAGTTGGATGATTGGATGTGAGATGTGTGTGATGAGTTCGTGTGAGAGCCATGCGTGGTGAGAGCTAAGTGCTGTGTGATGAGTCGCTGTGAGAGTGAGCGGAGGAGTTGGATGTGAGAGGCTGTGTGATAAGTTGGTGTGATGAGTTGGTGTGATGAGTTGGTGTGATGAGTTGTTCTGTGATGAGTGTTTAGGTGTGCTGTGATGAGGTGGCTCAGGTGGTGTGAGAGCAGGCGGCGCGGCGGGATGCGGAAGCAGCGGCGGGTGCAAAGCGAAAAACAAGAACCCCACACAGTGATGTGGGGAACTAACGGACTTCCAAGCCAACAAATTCCCAATGGTGTTGGATTTCTTCAAGCCCCCAGTTCGTGCCTACATGTAGCAATCGAAACATAGTTGGCTGAAAAACGCAGTCAGTGGGTTTTAACCCTGAACAAAAAAGAGAACATACCTTGGGATAAGTGACGTAAGGATACCATGAGGACCTATCTTCGTGTTTTGTGGGCGATTCCATTAGTGATACAGGTTCGCGTTCCTACACGCCAACAGCTTCCATGGGGTCAACGGGTTACGATATTGATGTTTGTTCCTGAAAACCTGATATCTGTTTAACCCATATCGTTTGCTTTAACAATATAGTTGCTTTAACTGACCATCTTTATCTTGAAAGACCAGCTATTTCATGTTATTTCCACATAGCCCGGGATGACATCGCTACAGGGCGAGAACGCCTTGGAGGATGCCGGTGTGGCCCAGAGGGGTGTGATGCTCTTGGTTTAATCGTTTGGTGGGATATAGGGAGCCTTTAGTTTTATGGGATATTGGGAAATGATTTAATTGAGTTTCTTACTGGGATGCTGGTTTGAACTGGGCTTTGACAGTAAAGAATGGATGTAGCAACACCAAATTGGAATATCATGGGACTAAATGGGTCAGTAAATCTTTGTGGCCGGAAATTACCCCCAAAAAATGCAAAATGACAGTGAAGGACTACTGTAGGTTTTTGGGCGCCCCATTTTCGGACAAACCCCTATGATAGAGGTGCTGCCAGGGAATAATTAATTGGTATATGGGGTTTACTATCAAAAAGACGCTTTAACTCCTGCCAAACGTGGGATAAAACAGGTAAGCACTAAAATGGAGGTTTCACCAATACGAAAACTTGATGATGAGGGGTTAAGAACCAAAAAATGATAAACCGTTTTTATCGGTAAGATGCTGGTTATAGTCGTTGGCCGCAAAGGGCGGAATCTGGGTGATTAGGATTGGCAATGATGATGCGAATAAAATGGAGATGGGAAAGGTCGAGGACTTGCTCTGACACCCACTTGGACTGCTCAGTAAGCGGGTCAGTCATGATAGGCAAAGCCAGTTGAAGATGGGCTGGTTGCCCTGGCTATATATCGGCATTCCGAGAGTTTAACCGTTATTGACGGAGATGCGAGTTCATGTCAAGCCTCCATTTGAAAGAGTTTCATTCGTTTTAGGATGGCTGGGTTCGATATGGTAACTCTCGTGAGCTTGCAATGGCTAAGGAAGCGGGGATGCCATGGTAGACTAGGGAATTGGGGATACAATCATACGAGCAATAAGAACATACTGTGGCTTTGGGATTTGCGGCTGATGGCAACAGAAACTTGTCCCGCATGCAAGTTACAAGTCTTACAAGACTAACAGCACTGTCCAGCCGACTGGACCAACTTTAACATACATCTTCAATCTTGGGCAAACAAATGACCAACATTCCTTGAAGGGCGGTTTCAGTAAACATGTTTTGGTTGGCCCACATCCTATTTTGGATCGTTCAACTCCTGTACGACCAAATACCCCAAGCATACCCCAAGCAAGCAACGCTGTTCCATGGAGCAAATGGCTGTTATCCCCTGGACCTGCTGGTACCCTATTATCCAGGTTATGGCAGACAGCTACTTCGCACGGGAACTGGAGGACAATAGATGGGCATCCCATGCGAACAAGACCAGGTGCATTTTCGCGATGGGAAACATATTTTTATATATACACATATATTGTATCATGTTTGGGAGTAACATCACCATTCAAGAGGTAAACTGTGGATGACTGTAGTTTTCTGACATGTGATGTGTTTGGAGACTAATTGGGATACATCAATCTCCACAAATCTTGATAGCATTGCTCAAAAGCATGAGAACAGCCGTTTGCAAGAGATTGGATTTTTAGCAGCGCAATTCGAGATATAGACAGACAATCCAACAAACGGATGAATGGGAAGATACTGCAGCAAACCTGCTACAAGCAACAAGACCTGGAGCGTCAGCAACAGAATGCTGAAAGTTAGCCAAAACAAATTTGGATCAAAGCCTAAGACCCATGTGCCCTAGAGGTTGGGACATGCTGATGGCCATTAGGTTTCTCTCTTACATGTGTTCATTTTGGAGCTGCGAGAGAATATCATAATCTGATTTAGCCATTACACCCCAAACCGTTGCCCAAAGAATTGCAAACTCCCATCCCACTATTATCTACCGCCACTAATTACAACCTATCCAAGTACCCAAAACCATATGTGTCGTTGCCATAATTGGCTCCTGTTTCTGGTATTTTGCAACCTTTTCTTTTGGGATTAATGAGATAAACACATAGGATAACCAAGATCTCTATAGATGGTGAAATCACTATAGAATAATTTCACAAAGAATGCGTGTGTATTAAAGAATAATATGTTTTGAAGCGTATGTATATATCTGTATGTATATGCATGCAACAAGACCTAGATACATATAGACATATTTTCATATAGATACATGATACGATCAAAAAAATATACATATGTATATACTACATGTGTACATAGCCCTCAGAATACTACTGGGGCTCGCGCTGTTGGAAGCTTCCCAAATATATCAGCTCCAGGAGCTGCGGGAGTTGATGTCCAAGGGCCCTGACGGCGACCGTGCGGTTCTCAAAATGGGTCTACTCAGCGATGGAAGTTTATCATCAGCAACCAATGAGAATAACCAAAAAACAATCAAACAATGAAGGCGATGGTGATCTTAAGATTTTGCCCGGTACAGAGCAGTTGAAAGGTAGATTCACTTGGGAATTTGCTGCCAAGAACGGTATTACCAGCAGTATTTGAAGGATTTAAGTAGCACGCACAGGGAAGCTAAGCCGCAAATGATGGGAATCTGTACCCTTAAGCTATCAAATATTTCGGAATGATGGGCATACCTAGTGAATATGGGAATCTATCCAACAATAAAAGGATTTGTCCTGATGGGGCATGCCCAAATTTATTGCCATGCTTTGATGGAAATGATTTTTTTAACCACGAGAGTTTTGGGGGTCCCTTTTAGACAAACCCATGCTTTCATGTTTTCCATCACATTTCATGCACAAAGCGGCCAAGCCCCATCAATGATTGTTGGAACTTAGGAGGCGGAATCCACAAACAAAGAATGAAATTAGCGCCAAAAGTCGGCGAGCTTGAGACCAGATGCGAAAATCTGAGTCCCAAGCAACTTCCAGGGTCCAGGGGCAAATTTTCTGGCGAGGTAAGCATGCCGCACGGGGGCCAGCAGAAAATATATGCGAGTTGTTGCACAAACAACACAGTTGCATGTTTAAAGGGATGCTAGAAATAAAGATCTTGGATGCAGGGATGTAAGGATCATCAAAGATGGGAATACATTTGTTATGCGCATTTGTAAGTCAGAAACCATCATGTGACCTTGAAAGGACTAGGCTGGCGGATTCCAAAACATTTTATACGGCTCCATCAGAAGAGAGGATACTGCTTTGGAACCGGAGCATACGGGAAATCTAGGCCATTCGTCATCAAGCAGGTGAAACATAGTGAAGACTCACGCGGTTTGCTTTCATGACAACGATGCCCATCCACTACTCCCGAGGGTAGCGGTTCACCCCATCAGAAGATTTGGGATCATGGCCCATCACATGACCAGCAAGAGTCGCAGTATATCCCCATAGTTATAGTTGCTGTTTATCCTTCACCTTGCTGCTTCATATAACCGAAATGGCTGGTTGAAATCCAAGCCGCGTCGTTTCGAGCATTAAGTCTTGCAAGGGAAGCCTTAATTTTCAGCTTAAAATAGCACAGCGCTGTGTAAATCATCCCTAGACAGCCACTTCACCACCATAGCAACTTCACTTTGATAAGCTTACCCCCTTGTCTTGCTTGGAAAAACCCTTGGTTTCTTCATTTTCATCCATTTCCATCCTCGCCATGTCCTACCCCCGGCGCACCTGGACGGGCAGCGGCAGCCGCTCCCCCCGGGAACGGCCCAGCCGCGGGGGCAGCGGCACCCTGAGTACCCTGAGCAGCGGCACGCTGAGCGGCGCCGTGGGCACCGTGGGCGCTGTGCCCGTGACTTTGGGCACAGCGAAGGGGTTGGAGAAAGCCCTGGGTTTATAGTTGACGGGTTGGTTTTTTGGATTTTTTTTATGTTTCTTAATGTTTTTTGAATTCAGATTGATCTCTCTTGCTAATCAAGTCTAAATTTAGATTGGGGCCATACGCTTTGATTTGCTCGTTTTCTTGCCGCTTTTGGTTTATTGTGTGTTGCAATCCTATTTAAAAAAGGAAAGGGATGTACACATCTAAATGTTCCTATTTTTCACTGAAGTTACAGCTGCCATGAATGCTGCTTACCAAGGCTCATTCCCCTTTGCTTGGTAGGCCTGTAAGCCGTTCGCAAAAGAATAATTCATGGCTTCGGGTTTAACGCAAGATTTCATGGTTGTATAGGTCACATCTTGAGTTGGGGAAGGGTTGTTGTTATCACCGTGGGCATCTCTGCCCATAAATGTTGGTCAAGTTTCTCCTGTTGGATCATATTTTCCCACCCTTCATTGGCTATATCCGACAAGAGTGGTTGTTACCCAACGGGCTCCGTTGTTTGAACATGATCCCCTCAAGATGACCCACGTCCAAGAAACGCCCCATCCCAAAAAATGCACAAGCCAAAGCACAATCTTCAAATGTGTGAATGGCAGAGTAGCACCTTCCCCTAGCTTTACTAAATTTCCCAATTTCCTCAACCATCCATCAATCGGGTCTGTACTATACAGAAAATCAACACAGATATGGATTCATGGATACCCCGATATTTAGCACAATAATGACACCCATACTTTCCCATTCAAAGTTTGAATCGTCCAGCCATGTTAACCAAAAACCAGTAGCCATCACCTTATACTGTTGGTTGGGATCCATCTAGTAGCTGGGGCCCACCGTGAGGCTTACATGGCAACCACCAGTTCTTGGTCCCAACGCACCAAGAGCCCGGGCGGCGCGTTGCCGAGCCACGGACACAGCGGCCACAGCAGCCACAGCGTCCACGCGCCGCCTCGGCTGGGCCGCTCGGCATCGCTGCAGAGCCTGCCGGCCTCCTTGGGGTCCAAATCCACGGGGCCCGAGAGGATGGAGCCGCTTGGATCGATCTTGGGATCTTCTGGAGCAGAGATGATGTGGATGGCAGGGGATATCATTCATCTATAAACTATATTTATACTGAGTGAGGTTGAAAACTTGCCTTGATGTTGGGATGTGCAGGGGTTTAACTAACCAACCATATGATGTTGGGATGGCGGGGAACAGATCATCAAACACGTGGGTTCCTCAACTGCTAATCATGCGCCAAATGAGCAGCGTGTTTTCTTGAAGCGAGTTTGATCCGTGCACAACCCCCACAGATGGTTTCCCCCTGTACAAAATTATGATTTGCATATGGAGGACAGGACGAAAGGAATGCCTCAGCAAAAGCAGAGGGGTGCTGGCAATCTAACTGTTGTACTTCCACTGCAGTAGCTAAGCTACGCATCTCACAAGAGATGTTCCGGAGCCTCTAACCAGGTTTCACCTGCCCAAAAGTTGGTGTGTACGATCGAAGGATAATCTAAGGATGACCTCAAGAGCAGCAGGGGTCCAAACACTTGAAAACCCAAAATGTTCTCGCACAGTTGCACATGTACAGCCTCGGAGGTACCTTGTAAATAAGTTGGTTTACACTTGAAGGACCCTCCCTTATTTGGCTCTCGCCCACCATGTTATGGGTGCTTCAACCAAAAGCCGGGCAAAACCAATCAGAACGGAAGTCAGTAGCTGAAAGCTGTGATCAAGAAAACCCTTGGCCCTTCATGGTTGGCTTGTTTCTTATCCCCAGCTACTTCCAGATTCATTCCCTGCTCACAGGAGAGGCCGCAACATCGACCCCTTGAATTTCTCGGACGACAAGAGCGAGGTCATGTCATCGATTCCTGGAACCCTTGGCACCCTTGGAACCTTGGGCCGACCCTCCTGGGACGAGCTGCAACTCGTACAGCAGCGATGCTCAGCCAAAGAACGGGCGGGGCCATGATTTTCTGGGTGTTCTTGGGGTATCATGATTGGCTACAGCTGTAAAATGGGAGATAAACTACATGAGCTTTACCATGAAAGCTATATCAAACCCATGAAATGTGTTCGCAACCCTGATGAAACACTCCCCCCACGCACGTTTTTCCATGTCGAAATTATCTTAAACAATGGCTGCTTGCACTTACTACGTAGGATAGTGATCTCAATACTTCTGAGGCATTGGGTGGTCCAAAATTTTGACCTGGGAACCTGACCATACCGACCACTTGGCTCCAGGCCGTTACAGGTGGTTCTGTCAGTTCTGGTTTGCAGCTTGCAAGCCTTTCCTGGGATATGGAGGGGTCATTGATTCACCAATAGCCGTTGCAGGAAGCAAGTTGCACTCTTTGGTTCCCAGCGATTTGCTCGAGAAATTGTGATGAAAAACATTGCGCAAGACCTGGCACCTCAACTGACGCTTAGTTTTGGGCGCTTAAAACTCCAGCTGTGCAGTTTCAAAATAGAAATCAGTTTTGGTTTTGGATTGTCTTTTGACAATGTAAACGCCCCAATTGCGCGAATCAAACGGTGGATCTAATGGGTTGACGGTCGCGGCGGGGCCCCAGGACTGGCGGAGCGCTTCGTGAAACTCGACGAGGGCCTGCGGAGCAAAGATCTCCAGCTGGAGGATTTCGGGCGATCCGTGGAGCCCAGGGAATCCAACTGGTGATGTAACAAGCAGCTGTTAGACCTAATGGTGTTTAACCTACAAGAATGCTGGTTTAAAAAACACAGTTTTCACCAACAAGACAGGATATATATAGATATATATTTTTTGTTGGAGATTTGAGAAACAGAAATAGGGATTCAATTGGTTATATATGTCCCGGTATCGTGGGAATATCCCAGCTAACACGTGGGCGTCATTTAAAACCCTAACCAAAAGGCCGTAACCCCCATCATTGGCGCTGGTTTTTGATTGTGCTCATTTTTAGACGTTTCAAACGTCGTATAACTTCGTTTCGTGTGGCAGGTGTGGCACTGCGTGACATTCAAACATGTTTCATCAGGTATCAAACGTCATTCTGCGTGACAGGCTGATCTTTTAACCTCGTTTTCAGAAGATGCGTTGCACTTTTCGCGGCAGGCTTTGGAGATTTCCATGTTCATCTTGCAGGGCAGGCGCAGCGCTTAAGACGTGTCTTGTAGCGTGGTTTTTGCGAAACCGTGCCTGTCGGGAAAGCTGCAAAACATTTTTGATGATATCAAAAGAGGTTGCGATGTCGTGGCAGGCGTGGCACCTTGCGCGTCTGAGAAAGTGTCGAAAGTCATTTTGCGTGACAGGTGCACTGTTTTTGCAGGGTTTTCAGTTTTCAGAACATGACTTGCATTTTTGGTGGCAGGTGCAGCACTTTGTAAACGTGAACTCCATCTATGTACGTGTGAGCATTCGGGTTCGTGGGCTGCATCTCGTTTTTTTTTTGTGATTGACTCAAGCTGCAAGCAGATCAAGACTCAAGAGCTAAGGCCAATTAGAAAAGGGTTTGGCTGCGAGTCAGACTCAGACTGAGGACAGTTCAATTCGAACTACTGACACCAATCGACCTAACTTCGGTGATTCTCCGCATATTGGTTCCTTTGCTGCTGCTACTGCCAGACCTCATTGGAATGGAACAATGGCGCGGTGTGAGGGTACCTCTCTGGTGATGCCACGGACCAATGGCGGTCCAACCGCGCATGGAACAATGTGATGAAAGGTAATTGTAATTCCCCCTTATTTTGAACCACCTCCTTTCCTTGCTACATGTGCTTGCTTGATGATGAAGGTAGACTTGCATGTTCTTTCTCATCCATGGAAAAAGTGCCACAGGCAACCATCTAAGATCATCACCTGTGCCAAAGAATTGTGTTGTGAAGGTAATACCCCGGGATGCACATGTCACATGTCATTTCCTTGCTGCGCTTTCGACCTGGACGACACGAATAGGCGTGATTAAAATTGATGAATCTTTGTCGCAGGACCCTGTGCTTAACATGTTCATTTGCATGATGCTGATTCAACTTTTTCCTGCTCTTTACAGCAATTGCCACCATCGCATCCCACGGTCCATTGGTTGCGCAAGGCAATCGTAGATTTTGCAGCAGGAAAAAGAAAAGCTCTCCTGCGGTCTTGCAGGGGAAGGTAGCCATGAATCCTTACAAGGCCATCTTTTTTGCAACTCGGCTTTCTATCTCACAGTTTCGTGTGACAAAATTGTGTGTCTGTGTAAAAGAGCTGTGTATGTGACCAAGTTGTGTGTGTGTGTGACAGAGCTGTGTGTGAAAGAGTTGTGTGTGACAAAGTTGTGTGTGAAAGAGTTGTGTGTGTGTGACAAAGTTGTGTGTGTGTGAAAGAGTTGTGTGTGAAAGAGCTGGGTGTGACAGAGTTGCGTGTGAGACAGTTGTGTGTGACAAAGTTGTGTGTGTGTGACAAAGTTGCGTGTGGAAGAACTGTGGGTGATGCGGAGGAGGCGGCGGACGGATGCAGGCGGGAGCGCTCAGAAGAAAAGCAAGAACCCCACACAATGATGTGGGGGATGCTTTTCCCATTTAGCCTTTCATTTAAAAAGGGAATATCCGCAGCCATGTTTGATTACCACAGGCTAAAGATGTTCGATTCAGTTGCGGGTTTGACATCAGCCCGCTGAAGAAGGGGACGTAGCTCCACCACATGCGGATCCGCAAAGTATCACCTCCTTTTCAACAAGACCACAGCAGGTCACATCGACACCCCCCGGTGGCGCTGATGACGCGATCAGACAAGCATGTTATGCAACAGCAACGCCATGTTATATATTATATGTGTTCTTTGTTACGCCCAGAAATAACACATTGTTTTTTAACAAAAAACAATCTAGCGGGGCGCACTGACGCCATTGGTACACCATCATTCTTTGCCACAATCCCTGCTTTCCCCACCATGTGACCGCTTCAACTCCCAATGCTTGCTGGTCAAACCCAACCAACGCAAATGCTTTAAGAATGCCAGCATAAGTAAGAATAAGTAAAGCGCTCATTACATTCCTACTTGCATCGCCTATTCCACAATTTCTTGAGCTAGCCTCATTACATTCCACTATGTTGCAGGTTTTCCTCAAGTCCCATCATGTTTCATCAGTGTTGTTTAAGACATCTTTTGGTTATGGTATTGATTGCCAACTATACCCGACGGTTTCCCATCATATCCCATTTGTCTCTTGGCTTCTGCTATGATTATGGAATTTTCACGGGAAGTCATTAACTAAAAACTGCCGGTGGTTTCCTCATGGTTTTCTGATGTTATCCTTTGGTTTAAATGTGTGATTACCTGCCTCAACAGCGCCAGGACCTCACAAAGCGCTATGCCGAGCTGGCGGCGAAGAACGCAGACGCCATGCGCCGCGCGGAAGCCGCTGAGGAGGAGGTACCGCGATCAGATTGGCTGATGAAAAATGCTAGGATTTTTGCAACTTATATCCCAACACATGGTTAAGAATGGGATATTTAATGAAATATTTGAAAGGGCAACGGAAAACATGTGATAATAATTATCCATTGATAATGGGGTAATGCTGGGAAATTTTGGGAGATGAATATCCCAGTAAGCCCACCATGTCTCCCAATCTTCGAACAACCAGAACAATATGGTGGTTGTTTTTTTGGATGAGGGACTAGAAAGGTGTGATTTATCGGGATAATGGTCATGTAATTGGGATGCGTTGGGGACATGGTTGGTTTACTGGGAGACTGGCATGTTATTGAGGTCATATGACGATAGCGGGGATCATGTAATAGCATAATGAGCCACAAACCTCACGGAATTGTTGTCCATGGGCCAAGTTTGCTTTCATTCCAGGGAGAATTGGATATTGAAGCACAAATGAATGTTATTGCACATGCCCTACCATTTTCCTGCTATGCAGATACGAATCCAACATGGAGCTCACTTGCCACTCGTGATATGGGGATGAAGGTCGTTTAAAATGGCAACGCATGTCCATATAGAGATGGTTTTCCTGCTATGGAGCACCGGGGATTTAAGGACTGTTTTTGTCAAGCTGTCGTTTGGGGGAATACGAAAATCTCTCGAAATTTGAAGCCATTGAATGCTGGCTTCATGACCGTTCACCCACGCAGTCAGCAGTTCCGACCTAGCTACACGATGCATCCAGCAGTTCGGACTTACCAAGGGTGCACTACCAACAGAAACCAGTTTGTCTGTCGATAGCGCCTTGGAGAAGCAACTCTGCCTCCAAGAAGCCACATTTCCCCATACACCGGATGGAACTGGACATAAACTAAAGATTTGCAAACCCACGCGATCCATTTAGAGATGGCTCGGGGGGGAGAGCCATTGCCAGCTTAGGTTTCCTGAAATATCACTTGCCAGTGCTGCTGCTTAGACCCCACCTATTCTTGGCCAATAATACCCTCACATTTGGTGGCCTAGACCCACAATTATGGATTGATTGCCTTCACATCTTGTTTCACTAAGGTCAGCATTATTGCTGGCAAAACCCTATTTGTTCTTGGTTCAACTATCCGTTGTATTTTTCAGTGAGTGCACACCCTCTTGTTTGTTAGGTAAACACAACCACCATATGATTTCTTAATTGCAAGCCCGATCCATCATTTTGCGAGCTAAAATTGTTTGCGGGGTGGACACACAGGTTTCAAACGGACCCGGTTATCATACCGTTGGAAAGTTGTATCCAACATAGTCACCATATCCCATTACATGCCGGTACAGTCCCATTATTGTTGGTAGCGTCGATCAAAATCCCACTGTATCCCAACTTTACAAACTGTATCCCGTCGATATCAAGAAGCCCTGCCTAACCCCACTTTCCCATCATACACAATACATCCCGTTACATCTCCATATATTGCCATTGTTGATCATTCCTCTCCAGGCTATTGCTGGTTAATCCCTATGTTACTGTCTCAAAACTTTTCATCTTGCACCATTAAACCCAACAACACCCAAGAAATGCCAATATACCCCGATAACACAATTAAACCTCAAGAACTTCCATGTTTTGTGCTCAATCCAGATAACTTCAATGAATTTTGACAGGTGCTGGTGCTTCGCAAGGCATTGGCGCAGTCCACGGAGGAACTGCAGCGGCTGAAGCGACGCGAGAACCGTGGGCTGAGTGACAGCTGATCTCCGCAGAACGCCATGGCAGCAGATGGCATTCATCAACATACTGGGGATGTGTGAGTGGAAAAATCTTGCAACAGTTGGTAAATCGTACATGAAGTTATAGCGAGATGTTTACAATCTACCAACTGGGCCAGGATTTATTCCACCCACAATATTACGGTTATAATGGGGATGTAATGGCAATAAGTTATGAAGACATGAACCAAGAATCATGGGACGTTATGGAAAATAGGCAGGGTGTTTAACCCTTGGGGTTTTAAGACTTTGAAGGTGGCTGAACTGGGGCATAGTGGGGGTTCAACCAAGAATATGGGATCAACATAGGTACAATAGAGATGTATCCAACCAAGCTAGGGATTTTTAACCTCTGGGGTGAGACGGTGATAGGAAACTATTCGAAAAAAGATGGGTTCACATTGAAATCTAAGTTGGAAATTGTTGGATAATCGAAGGAAGTTTAGAAGTCAAACTTCCGACAATATGGACAGATGGCTCCAGAGGGTCGAAAAGTAGGCTCGCTAAAGCGGCAGGTGCAGAGCCATCTGGCGGGATAAGATGAAAAATTGCACGCCGCTGTGGCGCGAAGCACATGTCGAAGCACATTGCACACCATTCTGGAAGTTGAGATATTCAAAAAGTGTGCGGCGTTGCGGCGCGAAGCACCTGTGAAAGTAAAAATGCTTAAAACACCACATCCTCAGACCGTTTTTGGACGTTGAAGCGTCGTTTTGTGTGGTAGGCGCAATGGATTCAGCACCTTGCCAAAAGTGAATCAAACGTGTGTGTGTGTGTTGCAACAGTTACAAAAACGTTGGCAGGCGTGGGACATTTGAGGAAGATCTGCAAAGATGCATTTCGCGTGGCAGGCGCAATGCAAGAGACACATGAGTCAGACATGTTAGGAGGTACGGGCGCTGGTTTCCTGAGAGGGGTTGCATGTTCGAGCATTAGATCTACAGGTTTGCTAAGATGATTTTGCATGACAGGTGCAGTACTTCGTTGACCTGGCCTAACTTTTTCGCGGCAGGGGCAGTACTGTAGACAGATGGAATGGAAAAACCGCAAGACGCATTGGCGCGAGGCCGTCAGCTCCGCACTCAACTTTTCATTTTTTAAGAACGTCTTGCAGAATTGCATCGGTTTTGATGGTGTCAACTTCGAAAATTGAGAACGTCTCGCAGAATTCCTTGGTTTTTGACGTTGTCAAGTTCAAAAATTGAGGACGTCTCGCAGAATAGCTTCGTTTTCAAGCTTGCAGATAGATGGATAGATAGATAGACAGACAGATAGGTAGAGAGATAGAGAGATAAGCAGGTAGACAGACAGACAGATAACTACCACTACCACTAGCACTACAGTTTCAATTGCAACTAGCACTACAACTACAACAACTACAGTGGCAACAGCTACAACCACTACAACTAGAACTACTACTACTTCATCTACACTACAACTACCACTACCGCTACCACTGCCACTACCACTGCCACTACCACTACCGCTACCACCACACCGCCCTACAACCACAACAACTACTACAACCACAACTATCATCAGGGGAGGTGATCTCCTAAATTATGACCATATATTTTGGGACTTTTTTTTGGGCCTGCAGGTTACCATGTGCATAGCGTGGAGACTTCAACGAGGCTGACCATAGATAGACAGGTAGAAAGACATGGAGACAGACAGATAGATAGATAGATGGATGGATGGATGGGTGGATGGATAGATAGATAAATAGATAGATAGACAGACAGATAGATAGATAGATGGGTAGGTGGAGGGACAGATAAATAGATAGATAGGTAGATTGGATAGATAGACAGATATATAGATAGATAGGAAGCCTTTTTTTGCACGAGTTCTGCCTACGAGGCTCTTAACGCCAAGGTCAGAGTCGGTCAGGGATAGATAGATAGATTGATTGATAGATCGGTCGATAGATAGAAAGACAGATAAACAGACAGATAGATAGACAGAACGATAGATAGATCGACAAATCAACTGACAGACAAATGGATAGAAAGATGGATGGAAAGACAGATGGACAGATGGATGGATGGATGGATGGATGGATGGATAGATGGATGGATGGTTGGTGGATGGATGGATAGGGGGATGGATGACTAGAGACATGGATAGATAGGAAGATGGGCACCCCGACAATCCAACCATTTGTCGCTCTGCCATCCATGATTCACGACAACCAAGCTCTCCTATAGGTTTCCTATCTTTGAAACTTCCGCCGTCGCCTTGTGCCGTACTACTGGTATTAGTCGTGGGTTTCCTACATGTCATACATATAAAGATTGTTTTTTATTTATCTATCATCCAACGCTAATCTTATCCCAATATGTATCCCAATTCATTTTGGGATTGATCAACAAATGAGCAGTGGCTGCTAAACTGGTGTTTCAAGTGGGAAATGTTCCAACTGGGCACGGGGATGCAAGAAAACATGAACGGCGAGAAGAGCAACATAGATGTTTGGTGAAAAACTTAAGCGGTAGCTAAAAACTATGTAAAATCAACCATGCATGAGTTGCAGCCTGGTTTATAGTTAACGGGGCGGTTAGAAGCATACAGCTTCTAAATGGTTTCTCATGCTCCACCGCTACTTGACATCAAACTGGCAATTTGCTGCCACCGTTCCTCGCGGGCAGCTGGCGGCTGCTGCCTTCACCCAGAGAGCGACTGCAGAAAGACCGGCACGGGGATTCCGATATTCCAATGATAGGACGGATACTTGGAGAGGCGCATCCCAGGAAATTGCTTCTAATCCAGGATCCATAAAAACCATGTAATTTGGAAGATGTCCGCAATTTAACTGGCCCATACTGTGAAGGGCCCTTGCACACTTAGTATGGGTGATGCACATCCAAGCAGTCCCGGATAGTGGCAACAAGTCATCCCCAGATCCAATGATCAATTCATCAATGACCTGAGGGTGTCCAGGTTGACCATACCCAACTTTCATAGAGCTGCTAACTCCCTGCTCCACTCGTGGCACCCCCCATGGTCGGGGTCATGGGCTGTAGGTGTGACACCAAGTTTTCGAAAAAAACGGCACCTTGTTGACGCGAAAGATTTCCGAGTTCGTTGTTGGATTCCTGCCCCACATCCTTGCTGTTTATTTACATCCCTGCTAGTGTTTTGTGTAGCTACATCCCTGCATGAGCAGCTTCAAAAATCCGGAAGGTCCCAGCTGGTTGCTACCAAAAAAATTGGGGATTGCCATAGTCCATGAAGAAGTTGTCCAATAGGTCTGTGACACTGTTCATTTAGTCATCTCCTGAATGCCAAATATCCTCAGATGATAGTTACATTGACTGATCCCTAATTGTTGATGGTAAACCAGCTTATCCCCAGTGCGAATCCCCATCAGTTTTCGTTGCAACACGCATCGCGAAAAAACACTCAGCGGCCCATCTAAGGCCCTCTCTTTACTTTCAAATCAGGTGCCAGCGGGGCGTTGATCAGAGAAGAATGGGGGTCGAAATAGCAAAAGTACCTCTGATACCAACTACAAGCTCTCCAGGCATTCGCCCATTGCGAAAGCTAGATTTTTGTCAGCCACGGCATACACATTCGGAGGTGATCCTCGAAAGACGTCCTTTGGAGCGGGGGATTCCAAAAGTTTTTGGGCGAATGTGTATTGTCAAAACCATAACTCAACTGAACCAAATCTCACATATGCATGGTCGGGAGGCATGTAGTAGTCACGCCGATTCTGACTGGCAATGTTTGTTGAATCCCGATTTTTTTCGGCTACATCCAAAGGTTTGATGATAAATGGCATCCTTTTTGCAGGCTATTTTACACCCCACTTCTTTTTAGGATTAAATGCTTCATGTTTGTGTTTCCTTAGAAGCTTTTTCTGGCACCAAGACCCGTCAGATGCGGAACCTGAAACGTTCAACTAGTTCACATGTGTGACCGAGTGAAACCTTCAAGTAACACGTATGGGGGAATGTATTGTTACCAAACTTGGTTTATGTGTCGATCTGGGGCGCGATGTCCTATATCTGCGGAATGTATTACCCAAATACATTGTTATCATGACATATATATATATATATTTGTTTATTTATACATTAATTTATTTATTTGATTAGTTGTTTTTTATTTACATATATATATATACAGAGAGAGAGATAGTATGACATAGCCTATAGCCCTATTGCTTTAACATCGGTATCTAGCTTTTGGTTGCAGCTGTTCAATGGTTCCACGGGTGGGTACGTTGGCGGTGCTGCGGCCAACAAGGACAGGGGACGCCCCCGGTTCCCGCGGCCCTGGATTGAAAGGAATTGAATTCGGTCAAGGTTGGCCTGGAAAACTAAAGCTTTGAGGTGGGAAACATTTTTTTGTTATTTGTTTACGGTAAGGACGTCATCCTGTGAACTTTTTGCGGCAGCGATTTTAACAGGAATCAGCCGTGAAAGAAGTGGATTTGGTCCAAATTGATCCGGGAAAGCTGGGAACTCAACAGATGAAAATCACTAATGAAGCTTAAAGAAAAGCATCCGAACTCCTGGTATTTTGCATGCACCCACGACTTAAGAGCGATACGATGAAATTTCAGGCGCCCTGGCCTTGACCATTGAACACAGCTTCCGTTCCACTGTCAGGAGCCATACCAGCCATGCCGATCGGTGTGATGCTGCGGTGGAATGAGGATAAGGCGCAGTTCTGCACCTCCGAACGGGGCACTGGGCAGAAGAACTGATAGCATTGGCATTCTCGGGCCTGTTTTTTTCTCTTGATCATTATGCTCGAACCAAGAGAGCGGCACGTTTGTGCTATGTTGAGCAGCCAACACGCGGACACGACCTACCAAAGTTGCCAAAAAGTATGGGCCGTATTTTATCGCCAGGAAAACACAGATGAGCTTATCGGTCATTGATGGAAAACCCATTCGCCGAAAAGTTTTTGACACGAAAATAGAAACATCTTTCAGAATCGAACATGAAGAATCTCTAGTCAAGCAAGAAGCAACATCATGCAAAATAGGATTATTAGCAGAATATCCCACATAATCCATCAAGTATCAGAATATCCCACAATTATCAGAGTATCACTAGTTACAAGTAGTGCCCGGGCAAGCCGGGGGCGGAAGTTTCAAAATTGAAACGCTTATAGCCCATAGAGCGGAACAAAGACTGTGCCTATAGGTGACAGGCAAGCCTTCTGTGCTTCGCAACAACAAGTTCTTGACTTGTCAATCTGATGCCATGTCTTTTGAGTGCTGGATCTTTTTCTCATTTCATCTGACCTCATCGCATCGCAGCTTCTCTTGCAAATTGCTCATTGCATCCCATTGTCACCGCAGTCTGTGTCATCCCATCTCACGTCTTGTCAGCTTTTTTCACCTGATCTTATGTCTTCTCTCCCTTTCTCGGCTCTTCTCAGCTGATCACTTCTCATGTCGCCTGAGCTTTTCTCATCTCTTCTCATCTCATCTCAGCTTACCTCAGCTTTTCTCAGATTTTCACAGCTCTTCTCAACTCTTCTCAGCTCTCCGCAGCTCATGTCAGCTCATCCTATGTCTACTCATCTCTTCTCTCCTGTTCTCACTTCTTCTAAGCTCTCCCAACATCTCCTCAGCTGATCTTCGCTCCTGTCAGCTTGTCCCACCTCATCTCAGCTCTTCTCAGCGCGCTCTCAAATCATCTCAGCTCTTCTCTAGCCCGAAACCTGCTCCAAAAACTGACCTCGGCGCCAGGGCAAGCGACCCCTACGCTTTCCACAGAAAAGATCTGACACAGAGAAGCGTTTACACACAGCAAGTTTTTGCACCACACAGAAGCTTTTTCACAGAGACAGGGAAGCTTTTCCACAGGGACAGAGAAGCTTTTGCTCGCAGAAAGCTTTTACGCAGAGCAAGCTTTACACAGAGAAGCCCTCACACAGAGAAGCATCTACAGAGAAAAGCTTTTACACACAGAAGCTTTTGCACACAGAAGCCCCTACACGAAGAAGCTTTTACACACAGCAAGCTTTTACACACAACAAGCTTTTACACAGAGAAGCCCTTACACAGCTTTTACGCACAGCAAGCCTCCACACAGAGAAGCCCCTACACGAAAAAGCTTTTCCACAGGGAAGCTTTTACACACAGCAAGCTTTTACACAGACAAGCTTTTACACACAGAAGCTTTGACACACAGCAAGCTTTCACACAGAGCAGCCCGCACACAGAGAAGCATTTTCACACAAGCTTTTGCACACAGAAGCTTTTACACACAGCAAGCTTTGATACAGAGAAGCTTTTACACACAAGCCTTTTCGCACAACGGTGCCAGAAATTTCAGCTCCAATACCGGATCTCGGCGCCAAAGAAGGAAGAAAATGCTTTTGAAGCACTTTCTAAAAGACATTTTCGATGGAAAATCACCAGCGCCAAAATGTAGGAAACCTGCTGACATATCACTATTGCAGCCTTGATGCAGCCACTCCAATACGATTTATGATGTCCAGCTGCAAAAGACAACAGTATTACGCACGCCGCCGCGGCGCCAAGCAACCTTGACGCAGCCATTACAGCGCGATCTGCAGAGACTGAGTAGCAAAACACAATAGGATTACGCGCAAGAACGTCAGCAAAACGATGCGTGAAGCGGCAGTTCCATTGCGGGGCCGATCCGACCATGATCCCGGTACAGCCGGGACCGTTCCGAAACCGTCCGCCGGACAAGCTTCCCCATCCATCTTCCTGGACACGTTTTGTCCTGCAAAACAGAGAATTTCGTGCATCCGCTTTCTCTCAAAAACGCATTTCGCGCGAGACATCCCTCAAAAAGTGAAAGTGGAAGATGGGAAAACGAAGCTTTCGTGCGAGACTCCCCTCAAAATCTGAAAGTGGAAGAAATGAAAAGGAAGCTTTGGTGCGAGCCTTCCCCCAAAAACTGACAGGTGAAGACATGAAAACGAAGATTTTGTGCGAGCCGTCCTTCAAAAACTGAAAGTTGACGATGTGAAAACGAAGAGTTCGTACGAGCCTTCCTTCAAAAACTGGAAGTGGCAGATGTGAAACGAAGATTTCGTGCGAGACCTCCTTCAAAAAGTGAAAACTGAAGATGCGAAAACACAGCTTTTGCGCGAGCTTCCCTTCCAAAACTGAAAGTGGCAGATGTGAGAACGAAGCTTTTGTGCGAGCCTTCCCTCAAAATCTGAAAGGTGAAGGCATGAAAACGAATCTTACGTGCGAGCCTTCCTTCAAAAACTGAAAGTGGCAGAAGTGAAAATGAAGCTTTCGTGCTCTTTGCTGTGCGATCTTTTTCTGTGAGATCTCTTTGCTGTGAGATCTCTTCGCTGTGAGATCCCTTTGCTGTGAGGTCTCTTTGCTGTGAGATCTCTTTGCTGTGAAATATGGTGATTGTGATTGGTGGTTGTGATAGTTGTGATTGTGATAGTAGTGATTCTGATAGTGGTGGCTATGATGGTGGCTGTGATAGCGTTGATTGCGAGAGTAGCGATTGTGATAGTGGTTGTGATAGTCGTTGTGATAGTGATGATTGTGATAGTGGTGGCTGTGATAGCGGTGATTGTGATGGTGGCTGTGATAGCGGTGGTTGTGATAGTGGTGATTGTGATAGTGGTTGTTGACGGTTGTTGTAGTGGATATTGTGATAGCGGTTGTGATGGCGGTGATTGTGATAGTGGTGATTGTGATAGCGGTGATTGTGATAGTGGTGGCTGTGATAGTGGTGGTTGTGATAGTGGTGATTGTGATCGTGGTGATTGTGGTGGTGGTGGTGGTGGTGGTGGTGGTGGTGATTGTGAGTGGTGACTGTGATAGTGGCTGTGATAGTGGTTGTGATAGTGGTGATTGTGAGGGTAGTGGTTGTGATAGTGGTGGTTGTGAGAGTAGTGATTGTGATAGTGGTTGTGTTGGTGGCTGTGATAGTGGTGATTGTGGCTGTGGTTGTGATAGTGGTTATTGTGATAATGGTGATTGTGATAGTGGTGGTTGTGATATTGGTTTTTGTGATAGCAGTGATTGTGATAGTGGTGATTGTGACAGTGGTTGTGTTAGTGGTGGTTGTGATAGTGGTGATTCTGATAGTGGTGGCTATGATGGTGGCTGTGATAGCGTTGATTGCGAGAGTAGCGATTGTGATAGTGGTTGTGATAGTGGTGATTGTGACAGTGGTTGTGTTAGTGGTGGTTGTGATAGTGGTGATTGTGATAGCGGTGATTGTGGTGGTGGCGGGTGCGATGGCGGTGACTGTGATAGTGGCTGTGATAGTGGCTGTGATAGTGGCTGTGAGAGTAGTGATTGTGATAGTGGTTGTGTTGGTGGTTGTGAGAGTAGTGATTGTGATAGTGGCTGTGATAGTGGTGATTGGGATAGCGGTTGTGATAGTCGTGATGGTGAGAGCAGTGATTGTGATAGTGGTTGTGATAGTGGTGGTTGTGAGGGTAGTGATTGTCATAGTTGTGATTGTGATAGTGGTGATTGTCAGAGTAGTGATTGTGGTAGTGGTTGTGTTGGTGTTTGTGAGAGTAGTGATTGTGATAGCGGTTGTGACAGTGGTGATTGTGATCGTGGTTGTGATAGTGGTGATTGCGGTTGTGTTAGTGGTGATTGTGATAGTGGTGGCTGTGATAGCGGTGATTGTGATTGTGGCTGTGATAGCGCTGCCATAGTTTCCTCACAGGCACAAGTTGGGGAAGTGGTGGTTGTGATAGTGGTGATTGTGATAGTGGTTGTTGTAGTGGATATTGTGATAGCGGTTGTGATGGCGGTGATTGTGATAGTGGTGATTGTGATAGTGGTGATTGCGATTGTGGCTGTGATAGCTTTGGTTGTGATAGTGGTGGTTGTGATAGTGGTTGTTGTAGTGGATATCGTGATAGCGGTTGTGATGGCGGTGATTGTGATAGTGGTGATTGTGATAGTGGTGATTGTGATAGTGGTGATTGTGATAGCGGTGATTGTGATAGTGGTGATTGTGGCAGTGGTTGTGATAATGGTTGTGATAGTGGTGATTGTGAGGGTAGTGGTTGTGACAGTGGTGATTGTGAGATTAGTGATTGTGAAAGTGGTTGTGATAGTGGTTGGGGTGGTAGTGATTGCGATAGTGTTGTGATAGTGGTGTGATAGTGGTGATTGTGAGAGTAGTGATTGCGACCGTGGCTGTGATACTGGTGATTGTGAGGGTAGTGATTGTGATAGTGGTTGTGATGGTGGTGATTGTGAGGGTAGTGATTGTGATTGTGGTTTTGATAGCGGTGATTGTGACATTGATAGTGGTTGTGATAGTGGTGATTGTGATTGTGGTTGTGATAGCGGTTGTGATCGAAGGAAGTTTAGAAGTCAGACTTCCGACATATGGACAGATGAAAAAGCAGAGATGGGCAGAGTCAGAGAGAAGAGAAGAGTAGAAGAGAGAAGATCAGAGAAGAGAAAGAGTCAGAAGAAAGAAGATGCAGGCGCGCGAAAAGGTAGGAGATGAGAGATGAAAAATTGCACGCCGTTGTGGCGCGAAGCACATTTGCAAGGGAAAAAGCTAAAAACACACCAGGGTCGGACCACTGTTTCTTGTTGAGATGTCGAAAAAGTGCACGCCGTTGTGGCGCGAAGCACATTTGCAAGTCAAAATGTACAAAACACCTGGGTCTGGAGCACTTTTGGAAGTTGGGATGTCGAAAAAGTGCACGCCGTTGTGGCGCGAAGCACATTTCCAAGTCAAAATGTACAAAACACCCCAGCGTCGGACCACTTTTGGAAGCTGCGATGTCGAAAAAGTGCACGCCGTTGTGGCGCGAGGCACATTTCCAAGTCAAAATGTACAAAACACACCATGTTTGGACCACTTTTGGAAGTTGAGATGTCGAAAAAGTGCATGCCGTTGTGGCGCGAAGCACGTTTCGAAGTCAAAATGTGAAAACACCACATGTTCGCGCCACTTTTGGACGCTGAGATGGCGTTTCGCCTGGCAGGCGCAAGGGATTGTGCACGTTGTCAAAAGTGAGCAAAACGTGAGGGTTTTGTGGCATTTCCAAAAACGTTGGCAGGCGCAATACAAGAGACACATGAGTCAGACATGTTAGGAGGTACGGGCGCTGGTTTCCTGAGAGGGGTTGCATGTTCGAGCGTTAGATCTACAGGTTTGCTAAGATGATGTTGCATGACAGGTGCAGCACTTCGTTGACCTGGTCGAACTTTTTCGCGGCAGGCGCAGTACTGTAGACAGATGGAATGGAAAAACCGCAAGACGCATTGGCGCGAGGCCGTCAGCTCCGCACTCAACTTTTCATTTTTTAAGAACGTCTTGCAGAATTTGCATCGGTTTTCATGGTGTCAACTTCGAAAATTGAGGACGTCTCGCAGACTTGCTTCGTTTTTGACGTTGTCAAGTTCAAACATTGAGGAAGTCTCGTAGAATTGCTTCGTTTTTGATGTTGTCAACGTTGAAAAATGAAGAAGTCTCGTAGAATAGCTTCGTTTTCAAGCTTGCAGATAGATAGATAGATAGATAGACAGATGAGATGAGATTTGATTTGATTTGATTTGATAGACAGACAGATACAGAGAGAGAGAGAGATAGATAGATAGACAGACAGACAGACAGAGAGAGAGAGAGATAGATGGATGCATAGATGGATAGGTGGGTAGATAGGTAGGTAGATAGCCAGAGAAAGAAACAGAAAGAGAGAGAGAGAGAGTCAGATGGATGGATGCATAGATGGATAGGTGGGTAGGTAGGTAGATAGATAGTCAGAGAAAGAAACAGAAAGAGAGAGAGAGAAAGAGAAGAGACCTCAACCACCTTTCGGTGGCTTCGCTCTGCCATCCGGGATTCATAACATCCAACCTCTCCTTTAGGTTTCCTATTTTTGAAACTTCCGCCACCGCCTTGCGCAGTACTACTGGTAGTGGTGATTGTGAGAGTAGTAATTTTGGTAGCGCCTGTGATAGTGGTGATTGTGAGAGTAGTGATTGTGGTTGTGGCTATGAGAGTAGAGATTGTGACAGTGGTTGTGATAGCACTGATTGTGATAGTGGTGATTGTGATAGTGGTGGCTGTGATAGTGGTGATTGTGAGAGTAGTGATTGGGATAGTGGTTGTGATGGTGGTGATTGTGAGGGTAGTGATTGTGATAGTGGTTGTGGTGGTGGTGATTGTGAGGGTAGTGATTGTGATTGTGGTTTTGATAGCGGTGATTGTGACAGTGATAGCGGTTGTGATAGTGGTGATTGTGATAGCGGTTGTGATAGTGGTGATTGTGATAGTGGTGGTTGCGTTTTCAAAAAATCCGTTACACGGATGTATTCACTTCCAAACTTCCGTTGATTAGCCAGAATTCAACCGTCGAAGTATCCCCACATCCCCCAGGGTTTCGGTTTCATCCGACCGCTGGATGGAGATGGCCCTGATGCCGCTGGGACTGCAGGGCTGGTGAAATATCAGGGTGTCATGCACCGAATGGTTTTCAAGTTTGGTTTGTTGAATTTATTCAAGTAATACTTGATGAAGGTATGGTGCATCCAACTTAGTCACATTTTTGGAAACATGAAGTTACTTTAGCTGCAGTTTCCGAAGAGTCTAATGCGTCCAATACGTCCAATACGTTTCAAGTTTGGATTGGAATGCGTGAAATTATTTAGGGGACATTGGTGAAGAGTGTCATCCACCGAGTTTGTTGGGTTTGCGTGTTGTAAAATGCACGCGAGTTGCGTTCTATGACACGCTTGAAGTTTGGGAGTTTCGAAGTTGTTTAAGTTACAATTATGAAGAGTATCACGCGTCTAACTTGTTTCAGGTTTGGGAATTCTGAATTTGCGTAAGTTGCAGTTTATGAACTGCATCATGCATTGAATTGATTCAAATTGTTGCATTTGATTTTTCGCAAGCTGCATTGGCAAACAAGAACATATGTTAATTGTTTAATTAAATTCTGGGATTCATGAATTTGTTTCAGCTGCATTGGTGAGTACTTGCTTCGGGCTAGGGATTCGTGATTTACTTGACTTGCATTTGTGCATAAGATCACGCATTCAACTTTCTAACAGCGGATTTCTTTGAACTTTTACAAATTGCATATATGAATAATTTGATGCATCCAACTTGTGATTTTTTGAGTTGAGTCTAAAAGAAACATCCGGCATTTGGAATTTTCAAGAAGTCTATGATTGCTTAAGTTGTATATATCAATAGCACTGTACATCCAACGTAGTTTAAATAGGCGATTATGGTCTGTAAGCTGCGTTTCTAAGGCGCATTGTTGAGAAGCATCATGCATCCAACTTATTTCAAGTTTGCCTCTTTTGAACTGCCCTCGTTTACACGTTTTACACGTTGCAGATAGGAAGCCTTTGAAACCCACATTGAGATGGTAAAAATGCCGCATTATGGTGGATATTATGCCCTTGGATACGGAGGTATTAATCCACCATAATCCACCACCAATCGACCCGCTGCCCAGTTGTTTTGCCACAAATCGGCACTGCTGGATGGCGACAACAGTGTCCTCGACGGCGATGAGGTGGGCATTTCACTGACACGACTGAGGGGGTTGGATTTTGACATTGCTAAAATAGGGGGTTAGGATTCAGGACTTTGGATGTTCTTTGAAAACAAAACAAGATCCTTTGGGGGTTAAGCTGTTAAGCATCAGGATGCTAGTAAACGGATAAACCGACTTGTGCGGGATATGGGGTTTTGACTAGCAAGAGCGTGGTTTTATTTACCTGTCGTAATGGTAGGTAGTTAGCCTTTTTAATAACGATAACGGAGGATTTCTTGATCTTGGTAGTCGGTTTGGAGAAGATTATTGTGATATAACTGGGGGCCCAACCAACAACATGAGAGGATAGTGGGTAAAGGAGGTAACTGTCCTGAGATGGAAAGCACTGACAAGATAAAGAACCTATAGGTATATTTAGGATGAAATCACCTGCTTTGGGCGGGACATTGGACAAGCTACAGCTCACGAATCACCCACATAGCCCTGGTCAGTTTGGAATTTCAGGCGATCCACTCAAAAGCCCACTCAAAAGCTCTGCGCTAGGATTGCAGATGCTCAATGACCTCATTTTAACTAGCACAACCCCCCATGAGTGATTTGCCAGCGGACCAGGGCTAAGGCTTTTGCTACTTCCGTCAGCCTTGCCAACCAGTGCTAGTTGCTAAGACTTGCTGAGATATAGCTTGTTTCGTTGGTTGGTACGCGTTGGCTTTGGACAACTACCAGGTGGCCGTACGGTTAATATATTGCTGCTGGGCAACTACCCTGAATAATAATGACTTCCATATATATTGACACCGTGCGCAGGTATTTATTGACATATAGATAGATAGATAGATAGATAGATAGATAGATAGATAGATAGATTTAGATAGATTTAGATAGAATTAGATAGTATTAGATAGAATTAGATAGAATTAGATAGAATTAGATTGAATTAGATTGAATTAGATTGAATTAGATTGAATTAGATTGAACTAGATTGAATTAGATTGAATTAGATTGATAGATTGATAGATTGATAGATTGATAGATTGATAGATTGATAGATTGATAGATTGATAGATTGATAGATCGATAGATTGATAGATCGATAGATCGATAGATCGATAGATCGATAGATAGAGTGATAGAGATATAGATAGATAGATAGATAGATAGATAGATAGATAGATAGATAGATAGATAGATAGATAGATAGATAGAGAGATAGAGAGATAGAGAGATAGAGAGATAGGGAGATGGGGAGATAGAGAAAGATAGAGAAAGATAGAGAAAGACAGATTAAGATAGATTAAGATAGATTAAGATAGATTGGGATAGATTGAGATAGATAGATTAAGATAGATAGATTAAGATAGACAGATTAAGATAGATAGATTAAGATAGATAGATCAAGATAGATAGATTAAGATAGATAGATTAAGATAGGCAGATTAAGATAGATAGATTAAGATAGATAGATCAAGTTAGATAGATTTAGATAGATTAAGATAGATAGATTAAGATAGATTAATAAAGATAGATAGATTAAGATAGATAGATTAAGATAGGTAGATTAAGATAGATAGAGTAAGGTAGATAGATTAAGATAGATAGATTAAGATAGATCGATTAAGATAGATAGATTAAGATAGGCAGATTAAGATAGATAGATTAAGATAGATAGTTTAAGATAGATTAAGATAGATTAAGATAGATTAAGATAAATTAAGATAGATTAAGGTAGATTAAGATAGGTAAAGATAGTTTAAGATAGATTAAGATAGATTAAGATAGATTACGATAGATTAAGATAGATTAAGATAGATTAAGATAGATTAAGATAGATTAAGATAGATTAAGATAGATTAAGATAGATTAAGATAGATTAAGCTAAATTAAGATAGATTAAGATAGATTAAGATAGATTAAGACAGATATAGATAGATTAAGATAGATTAAGATAGATAGATAGATAGATAGACAGATAGATAGACAGATAGATAGATAGATTAGATAGATTAGATAGATTAGATAGATTAGATAGATTAGATAGATTAGATAGATTAGATAGATTAGATAGGTTAGATAGATTAGATAGATTAGATAGATCAGATAGATTAGATAGATTGGATAGAATAGAACAGATTTGATTAGATAGATGGATAGATAGACAGATAGATAGATCGAGAGAGAGAGAGAGATAGAGAGAGAGAGAGATAGGTAGGTAGGTAGATAGATAGAGAGAGAGATAGATAGATAGATAGATTAGATAGATAGATAGATAGATATAGATAGATAGAGATAGATAGATAGATAGATATAGATAGATATAGATAGATAGATGCATAGATATGTAGTCTGCCCAGATATGATGATAGACACGGTCATGCATACCCAGGTCAAGTTTGTGATGGAATATGACGACCGGAAGGCGGAGAAGACCGCTGGTTGACCGTGCTGATGGTTTTGCCGGGTCCATTTTCTGACAGACAAACAAGGAGATGGTTTCCAGCTAACGAAAATTCTTTGCTGGGCAAGGTCAGTTAGCTATCACTTGGGTGATCGAGAATGGACCAGCCCAAGTCAGCACCAAAGTGAACTTTCAATACCTATCTCAACTTGGCAGTTCGGCAATACTCAAAAAATCTCCCCAACAAAAGTAAAAGAAAACGGAAGTTTTGGCTGCACTCCCCGTGGAGCATCTCATGTTCCATGTCGCGCCAGGGTAAGGATCGTGCCATTGAGGCCTGCCGATCCTGGGATATTGGGTAGATTCAATAGCGGGTTTCTCCATTGGTCATGAAATTTCCAGAAGTTTTGCCAGTGGGCCAGTAGGTCCTCAACCCCCCACCTCGATCAGCTGCGCATAAAAAAAAAAATGTGTGTGTGTGTGTTTAATGAGGCAGAAATGCGCATGTGTATTTTTTACGTGTATATACTGTATGTATGTATACTGTATGTATGTATACTGTATGTATGTGTATATATTTATATGTATGTATATATTTGTATAGATACATATTATTATATATATATGTGCATGTATAGATATGTACACATTATACATATGTGGTACTCCATGTACTCCCCGTACAACAAAGAACATTTAGCTTGGATTTCTTGTATGTGTGGGCATATATACACATGTTGCACAGGCTACCCCATTTTTTAAAAATATGTGACCTCGCTCTCGCAATTTTGTACCTTCAACCGTCTGAGAGTTAGGCAGGCTGCACCACAATTGTGCAAGCCTGTCTTGTCACCTACCACCATCCTACTGTCCGCAAACATGCAGATCCCGGTTCTGGTTGTCATGACCCATGATCACTGGATTACAATTAGCCCAGCCTTTGGGAAGTTCAATCCCTTTATCCAAGATTTTAAAGGTAGATACTGTATTCCCAATCTTGGTTATGTGTTCGCATTGTCGCCCCAGTATAGATCTCTATTCTTGGTAGTTAAATCCTCAATTATTGCTGCTTTAACCCAGATGTCACTTGTTGATACCCCGTCAATAAACCACTCTTGGTGTTATTCCATAATATATATATATATATTTATTTATATAGAGATACATTTATTGGTTGGTATTGCTCATAGTCCCATCTGTGACGGGTTCAATCCCCACTTTATACCCCATGTTGCTGGCTATAGATCCCCATTAATTGGGCAGAAGCCCCCATATCATTTTCACATGTGTGTGTGCTCCCCTGGTTACTACTTTTACCCCTTATCCAATATCGTCTAGATTTTTGTCAATGTTCATTATATCTTCTGACTTTACCCCCCAAAGAATGCTGGATAATGCTGCTGAAACTGGGACGTCATTAATATTCCTCGTTACTAAATCCCCATTTAGTTGGGGTTATCCCATCTACAAAACCCATAGTAACCCATATTAATTCATCGCAATAAAATATGTTCAGTAACATTGAAAAACCGATGTTCGCCCATGTTTTACATATCTTTACCCATCTAAAAATCCTTGGCCAACACTTGGAGGTGGAGCGCTACATCCGCAGCAGTCACTCACCACCTCCTCAACGGCCTCCGCCACCCAGCGCCCCTCGAAAGCAACGGAAACGGGTGGCTGATACGTGGATGATATGTGAGCCATTATGATATACCATCGGCATTATGAATATACCCATGTAAATCTCATTAAATATCTATCTATATCTATATCTATATATATATATATACGTACATGTATGTTGAAGTATTTTACAAGTAGAGAATTGTTTTTTTGGAGATTTGCTATGATATCGAATAGTTGTCCTCTTGCATATATATATATATGTGTGTGTGTGTCTAGTTTTTTGGAGATATGAGAATGTCTCAAACTAGGGGTGCCCCAAGCTCTTTATTATTCAACTAAAGAAGAAGGGCTTGGGGCACCCATGGGCACCCCAATTTGGAGACATCCCCATGTAAGGTAAGGGAACCATCCTAAATGGCCAATGAAGTGATGGATTTACCATCCAAATTTGGGATTAATGGGCTTAACTATATGATAGCTAAACAATAAATCTGCATGAAATATCACGTTGTGCCGTCACTGGAAGGATGGGACTTGTACTGTAAGTGGGAAATTATCCCAAAATAACATTTTATACCTAGCTGTTTTTGTGAGTTTTTTGTGGACAACGAAGCGGCAAGGCAATTGGATGTTGATTGGCTTTGATTTAATCCGCAAACCCTGGAATGTAACCCTCAAACAAATTGTAGTTTACCGCAAAATGGTGAGCTCCACAAAATAACGAAGGTTTGAACTGGCAATCCCATGTCCAATAGGTGCATCTACCAATCGGGTCCGTTACCTTGCTAGTTTACCAAATGTTTACCAGATGGTATTCTTAAAGACTCTCGGGATGTTTGACTTGTTCTGGGAACGAACTGCAAATAGGAGTGGAACCTCAGCAAGACTGCTGTGAAAAAGTACTTGGTTTCAAGCAACGGTGTAAGCCCGCGAAAACGGTGTTTTGAGCAACAGAACCAGGGGTGTCAAACCCGCAACCCTGGAGGGATCTTGCCACCAGAGAAAGATTGGAGGTTTGCTAGCGAAAGCACAACATATTACGCGTTGAGACACATATATGTCACCGTGTTGGATCGCAAGAACGACGGAGTCCAGCAGGGACGTCAGAAGGGCTCAAGTAGATCACCTGCAACCATTCCGAAAAATCAGTTGGATCAGCCCAGTAACATCGAAGTTGCCCACTGTGACGATTGATGGTTGCTTTATCTTCATACCCTCCGTGGTTTGATATAGAGTAGCCCCCAAGCTGATAGAAAAGTAAAACCCCACAAAGACAACAAATGATACATGGATATGAATGGCTATAAATGGTTGTTTCTATCCTTTTTTGGGGTTGCTATGATTTGATACTAGCATTGCCCAGTCAACTCCAGCTCCAGCCAAGACCCGAAGAGAAGGTGACTGGGACTGTCGCTTGGCGTCCATTGACTGTGCCACAGGGATGCCTCTGGGTTGGTTGAGGAGTCAATGGGAAGAGGCAGAGTATGACCATACTTTTAATGTTTTTTCATGACCATCAAAATTCGGAGTATGAACACAAAATACCAAAAATTAATGGGAAGGTCGTTCACTGCTTGGCGGAAAAGGGGGATTTAACCAACAATGGTGATATTGAATATTGCTATATGAATGGATATCACGACATGCATAAGCAACAATATCTGGCTGGCAATGACGAAGATATTTTACAAGGGGGGAGCGACTCAACCACCAGCCTGTCATATTTGGAAGTAAAGCAGATGATTTCATGTAGATTGCCCCTTAAACCCATCCATCGAATATGTGTCTTTTCTGTGAGTTTTCTTGCGGTCTCACAGGAGCTTAGGGCCCCTTTCCAGGAATTGGCAAGACCCCGACCCCAGATCCAAACCATTTAGCAAGTGAACAGGACATACAGTAAATCTGCGGATGAAGCTTACGCAACTCATAGTACTTTGGAATAAGATCCCAGCTGATTGGTGTCGGCCATCATCAGCCTGATGCTTGATTTTCCACCTGAATTAAAAAGTCATTCTTGTTTTTCAAATGGAACCCCTGGCGACTGCAATTTGGGTACGTATCAAACTAATTGACCCAAGGGTCTAAGAACATATATGGATACTTGGGAAAAATGACATCCGCCTGAGCTCCATTGGTACCCCTCGGTTTGACACATCCCCATTTTCAGAAGCTGCCATTGGTGGCCTCATGATGTTTGCATCGATCGCAGCTGTTCACCACCGCGTTTATCATCCATGGTTTGGATGTGCATTCTACTTACGATTGGTGGGTGATTACCAAATTGGGAACCCCAGCGATATTTGGGACATCCCCTAAATATATATATATTATTTATTTATTTATTATTTTATTTTATTTATTTATTTATTAAAAAATACATATAAATATAATATCTATATATTATATATTTAATATACAAAATATAATATATATAATATATGATGTATTTTTATATTATCTATATAATTTATTTATATATATATCATATGTATTTAATATATACCGTATAATATGTATATATATACACAACTATATATATGTTTGATAATCATTATTTATGATTATATCTAAGTGTACAGGTATACATATATATATATTTATATTTATTTATATGTATATGTATAAATATTTATATATGCGTATAACAATTAAGTTACTTACATGCATGAACCATGCGCGATTTCTAAGCAAAAAAGTACCATCATTCTGCTCATCTCTGATCTTCCAGCAGGCCCAAAGTGTAAATTTATGGTTTTCGCCACGAAATCTGCGCCTCGCCGGGAAGGGAAGCGGTTGAGGGATGTGTTTTTGAGAGCCGTTTGAGGTGCATGTGACCACCAAGATTTTGGAAAATCAGGCGTCCCTTTGCCATTCTTCATTGGGCGGTTCCTTAGAATCAGAGATTCCCAACATTTTGACCTCATAAAATTGGCTAGAATCGGATAGATATTTGACAAACCAGCCTATAAATTATTCTTGGTTGTGCATCGCACTATGTCCCAACACCTTCCCATTCTGGTTGGTTCACCCTGCTGCATCCGAAAACTGTCCAAGGAATGCATGAAGTGTGGCCTCAAAAGGGAAGATGCAGACCAGATTCGTCAAGAAATGGCGGAGGAAGCCAAAAAAACACAGGAGCCCCCGGCAAATCTGGGTTAGCTGGATAGGATTGAGATGGATTGAGGAGATCATCCCAAAATGTTTTGATTTCTGATTATCCCTTGATAGGACTCATGTAGGGTAAGGAAACAGCAGCTGTTTCTCACAATGGTTTGGCAGTTCCTCCAGTTGTTATCGGCTCGTCATTGGAAAGCGGGTCAACATGGGTACTTCAGGTGGTAAACCCGGTGTTTATACCGCCCATTTCTGGTAAAATGGTGCTTTATGGCTTGTGGAAGCAACAACCATGACGCTTGGCCAAGATGCTAATTTTTGTCCGCTGAAATCTGAAAAGAAGCTTTCAACCAACAAGAACGGGTCTTCCACAGATGGAAAGGGAACCTGCAACATGGAACCTCACAACATTCCAGGATGTCACCAGCAGGGGCGGAATCATCTTTAATATTAAAAAAGCAAAGGCGCAACCAGCGGTCAGGTATATAAGGTGTCGATGCATTTTTGGATGACCACTTTGTAGTACACCCAATGTTGGGGAAGATGTATTTCCCTACCATGCGCAATACATACGTCCGTCAGTCCGCTTCTAAGACGTTCATATGCCATTGGAAATGGCCCAAACCTAGATCAGCCTGGGAGGAGTTGATTTCTTATGAAAGGGTTTCCCCTGGTGGTAGTTGATTCTACTTAGGCACGTTTGAGGAGGCCCTTGGGTGCTAGTATTTTTTGATACCCATTGCCCATTGTAGTTCCATCTGGGGGGAAAGCTTTGAAAACAAGATGCGGTGCAGGGAACTATATCACAGGTGAGTAGGATTGATGTGACGCTCTTTACCCGACATGACATGTTAAGAAGTGGTGGTAGCTTGGGTCAATGTGCCACCGCTGGAAATCCAGGACAAGAAGACCAAGGATGGAAAGGACGGAAAGGACGGTAAAGGAGATCGTAAGGAGCCGAAATCAGGGACCGTGGCCTCTTGGTGAAGTTTTGGGCCGTGGGACTGAAGAAAACTCAATCATTGCACTTTTTCCGGGATTGGGGAACATGTCTGCTCTTGAGGCAACAAATTACGACCCTGCCAAACATGACTCTTGCATCTGGTAGCTAAGGTTTTTCATGTTTGGGGTCTTGGGCGAAAGGTGAAAACATTGTGAAATTACGCTCACGGCTTTGCACTGAGCAGCTTGGGGCAGACTCATCAGAAAACATTGGCTCCTTCATGATGCATCACCATGATCATGATCATGGTCACCACCATCATCATTACCATCACCACTATCGCAATGTTCTTCTCTTTCATGTGTTTTCAATGTGTTCTTCTTTGTTTCTCATATTCTCATTTTCACATATTTTCTTCACTATCACACCCTCATTTGTTGATTGTTTCACCTATGTGGAGTGCTCTTTGGTTGCATCCCCACCACAGCTCATCCATCGTCCCATGATCTCCCCACAGCACCGGAGGACGGCAAAGATGACCGTGATCACAGCCGAGGCACGGGGCAGCCATTAAGCAAGGTAAATGTTAGAAACATTAGGGAATATAGATGAATATGGGGATTAGGCCGCAAACCCGCAGAATCGAAGCTTATATTGGGGATTTCGTATATGGTGATGGGGCCCGCAGCTGGGGCAACCGCTTCCCCCCATTGGTATTTGGTACTTGTAGCAGCCATTGTATCAAGTGTGGACCCCCGGGTTCAAAAAGCTTGTCTATGGCTGCAGCAAATTTCCCTTCTTTAAAAGCTATAAATCTTCAAGATCAAAAAAATGGGGGGCTGACCGAGCAACAAGCGAAATGGATAGAAAAAATGCTATCCAATCATTACGCCGTGGGCTTGCCAGCCGTTTGAACCGGGAAAGAACCCTGGGCGTCCCTTGTCAAAATTGAAACGCCTGAACGTCACCAAAAGTACAGCAAGGTATGGGCGCAATAGAACATGTTTCAGCATAGGCACAAAGTGAACATTCCTGCAGTGCCATGCAACAACCTTTGAGCGAACATTTGGGGGGGTCCATGGCTGCTTCAGTCAACTGGAGTATCCCAACGGAGAAATAGCCAACCGAATGGAAGGTCGACCTAATTTTGTTCATGGTTTTTGCTTATATCTTGTTCTCGCATCCAGTTAATATTTTCCCATTGGTAACTCCAATTTTGTTTCTTTGATACCACCCCAATTTCCTTGGTAAAAGTCCAGCCATTCATCCAGTAAAACAGATCCCCCCATGGTTGGATTGGCCCGTCTTCACCGAATCCGAACCCACCGGATTGCCCAGATCGCCGCCGGCGCCGCAGCGGTGGCCGGGACGGCGACAAACACGGCGACAAACACGGCCGCGAGGGCCGCGAGGGCCGCGAGGGCCGCGAGGGCCGCGAGGGCCGCGAGGGCCGCGAGGGCCGTGGCCGGCGCGACAGCAGCCGCAACCGGAACAAGGAGCGAAGCCGGCGACGGAGCCATTCGAGAGGCGCACCCGCTACCACATGTCATCCTTGGGTAAACGCGATGGTTAAGTAATGGGAATCATCCTTTGGAGTTGCTGATGTCAGACTTTGAGTTGGGAAGCATGATTTGTTCAGATATGATCAACCATTGGTGGTTTGAGGTGCTGCTTTGAAGAAACAAGGAACATCAATGGGTGATTTAAGCGACAACAATGGGTAGTTGAGCCGTTTATCCACCAGCAACTTGTTGACTTGACATTTGTCGGAAAGGAGATCTTCCTCTTGACATATTTTGTTTGTGTCGGAAGATGGGGAATAGCCTTACAAATGGCAATATGAACATCGGATTTGATAAATGGATGCGTCTGTATTTTTGGATAAACCTACATATCATCAAGACGCCCGGTTTGAAGCCACCAAAATGAAGGTTTGGGGAACACAACTGGGCAAGTTAAGCAACAAGACGGGGATTTATATAACCAACAACAATGATATTATCGAGTGTGCCTCCAACGGGGCATACCCCCAACTCATGGCCATTCAAAAGGGGATATAAAGAATCAATGGATTGAAAGTCGCATCTCTGGTCCCAATCAGTTGCTGGAACCATTGGTTTCTGAGGCCAACAATTGCCTCCCCGGCAGATGTACCAAGCAACGCTTCATGGTTCCACGTCTCCAACAAAGGGTATGGCCATTTGTGTGCACCAATAAATCCCGCGGCGGTTACCATTGGTTACCACCAACAACCTCTGGAAGCGGATGGCGTTTTGATTTTTCTTCCCATCCTCAACTGGGATGACGATCCTAAATAACAATTTGTGTCAGGGACATTGGAGGTAAATTGCATCAGATGAGCAATAGAATGGAAATTGGAAACTGCTAAAAACTAAATCTTGATAGTTTTGCTGGTTGGGGTGCTCACGGACCAGATGTTATGGGGATACTGTGCATCTTCATGTTGGTGGTGTCTTGAAACACCTGGGTTTTGAGACATTTTGAGAGCATAGCACGTTTGCCCATCACTATTTGCCATATGTCCACACCTGCCTTTGGGCCTTCACGCCTTCACGCGTTACCCTTGGCACACCCGTAGATTTGATACCGGAGATGTAATGTGTGCAAATGCAACTAGTACAGTAACTGCAGTGAGCTACCTAGCTCATAAAACGTGTTCAGAAAATGAGATATCCATTTCACCCAGCTATACTTTACCATGAACAGAACTTAAGCACATGAGCTGCACCCAACTTGGGCTGGGAGGCAAAGACAGAGACCGGCGGCGGCGCGAGCGTAGCCGCAGCTGAGAGTTGTGACAGGACCAATCAAGCGGAGGAAAGGGCAAGTGCGATGGGAAAGGGTTGGTCAGGATCGGGTGGCAGATGCAATGGGGATGGATCAAAACCTTTGACATGCCATACTTGGGTGGAGACCTATAATTTAGATTTGCGGGGATGAACATCCATCAATCTCTGGTGTGAACAGAAGGGCGCCCGGGTCTTGTCTCATACCCTAAAGAGGATACCCAAGCAACAGTAGCTACGCAAGAATATGGAGTCAACCAGTGGAGAAAGCATGAAGCCAAAAAGAATAGGATGTAAACCTTCAGAAGTTAGAAGTCGTGCTTTCCTGAAACGAAGCTTGGGTGACAGAAGATTGGCAAAACATGGGTGTTTTCTCCCTTGTTCAAAGCCGTAGAAAATTATTGCATCCCCTGGCGCGCAGATGGATATGGTGACGTCACAAAACCATAGTTCTGCATGTGCCAGGTGCGACCTACAAGGGACAGTGGAAGGGCAATCAAAGACATGGCTTTGGCAACTGGGCCGCGCTGGTGGCCCACAAGGGCATGGGGCTCTGAGTGCTCAAGGGTCTATGCATGTCTTTAAATCAATAAAGATGAAGCGCTTTAACCTCCAACCAATAGGAAAAGCACCGGTATTATAGTTGTAAGGATATGTAAGGATAGGGAACACTGCATGAAGTAACCATGCTTCTATGTTCTAGGGGCATATATTTACAACTATGGATAAATCAGCGGCCTGACAGCGGATCCAAAAACGGGGGAAGTTTGCTGACGCTATTGGGGACAAACCCGGCAAGAAAATGCCTGCGAAAGCCATGATGCTCAGGGGGGCATTTTGTAGTGTAAAATTATGCTTTTGATGTTGCCTGAAAGAAAATCACTGTCGTGCAGAAACCTGTTTCATTCTTGTCAAAGAACAGCTCGGACAACTTCTACGTGGTGCGCGCGCGGCGTGAGCAGTGCGGCGCAGCACAGGGCGGTCATGCCGTCAGGGCCGGCGCTGAAACAACTTGCTTAATATATACATACCAAGGGCAGCTGAAAGAGTTTGCCTTCAGCTGCCTTCCATGTTTCTGCCACAAGCTGTTGGCAAACATTAACTGTGTGACTAGAAGCAGCTGGAGTCGGTTGCTCAGAAAGCCGCTTGAAAATCAAAGAGGTACAAATATGCTGCTAGACAGGTGCCAGCAGGTGACCAATAGAATCACAACAAATGGGAAAAGCACGCCAACACTCAGCGTGCCCCGTGGCTCAAGCCATACGTGGGGAATTTCAATCGAGCTGTGTCCATGCAAGCGGCTTCAGACAAATCCTGGAACAACTTTGCCTGCACCGAGCATTGAAGGGCAGCAACTGTCCAAATCGCCATCATTCAAGTTGGCTCAGCAACTTTCCAACAACCAAGGGCTGGACAACATGAAACGTGAACAGAGGTACTGCACCAGCGCCGTCAAGGTTGACCAGGTTGTGTGGATGATATCAAGACCTGGGGGAACCAAGATAAAGGGTCCAGCCCACAAGCATCTGAGCCGTATCAAAGCCATTTGCTCCACTTGAGCAGCAAGAATCTTGGCCGATCCTCACGCACTTCCGTTCCAACAACAGCTTTGCCAGGAGCCACAAAACCTCCAGAGACTCGTCTGCAAGATGCCAACACGAAAGGTGTGCTGAAATCAATGTGCTGAATCCGCAAGGTCCTGCTCGATTGCTCAACGGCCTCTGTGTCCGTTGCCAAGAATTGTCACGATGGTGTTCTGCCCAGCGCCATCTCGACTTGAACTCATTTTGACAATCACTATTGAGGACAACGTTGCCCCGCCCGCACAAATCCTTTCCAGCTCACTGGCGACATTGGCAATCATGATGAAGACCCGGCGCAAGGGCCTTCAAAGGTTGAGGAGCGACCAAAAGTGTAGATCGTCAAAGATCATCCATAGCGGTGGAAAACGATCACCCGAAGATCTGCTGACTCGGCCGCACTGCTGGGAAGATTCGGGCCCGCGGCTCTTGTCAAAGAACAAAACTTTTTTTCACACAAGCCCTATATCTTTTCTCTGTGAGTCAAATAAATCGTCCACAGAAATCCTCCCCGGTTGTCGGATCAAAGACCCAACCCCTTTGCCGATCGAACGAGGCCGTCAGGAATGGCCTGACGGCGCCGCCTTCACTGGGGAGTGGCACGAGAATTATGCGGAGGCCACAGGGGCTTTCGCCTATGAAATGTTGGATGGGTATAGGAAAGTGTATGGAGAAATGGGAAACCCCTGTAAATGTTGGTTTATAGATGGGAAAACCGTCGACTAAACTGTGGATTTTCAAACCATGTTTGATTATACCAAATTTTACCCTTGTTGGTTGGTTATCGTGGGCTATATCGCCTGATTTCAGCGGGATTGTCATGACGCGCACTAGGAATACCTAACTAATAAATCAACCATATAACGGAATGGTACGGGAGTGTATTTCATGGCTCAAACATGGGGATCTACATGGCTGTTTCTTGAAATGCTGCTGCCAAAATCAGCCAAATTGGTACCTTTCTAGCGGGAAACCGGAAACCAATGGTTTTGCGGTCCAGGGTTAGAAGCAGATAAAAGGTGTTTTTGTGGCCCGTGTTAAAAGGCTGCAGATACATGATGATGTTTAAGAGTTTGACTGGGCCAAAATGTGATACAAACCCGCTATTGTTTACCTTGGATAGACTGAGAATTGTGCGCGTGAGTTGGGAAATTCTCAAGCAACCATCTGAATTCGGCTCACTGGTTGGTGAAACGGGTTGGTTTGGATTGGTACAATGACAGTTTTTAACCATTAAATATACCATGTATTCAGTCCAATAACCCATGAAATAATCCCAACTCATACCATCAACTACCCACTGGCCATTTAAGCATGTTACGTAAGCATGTTACCGTGTGTTGCTTAGCATCGGTATCCGCATAAGCCATTCATATTGCCATCAGCTTAAACCCCACACGTTGGTGCCTTACATACCCATTTTGGTCGTTTAAAGCTCCTTTTTTGGCTGGTTCAAAGTCTCTGTCGCACCGTATACCTATTGCATATCTTTGGTATGTCATCTAAGGAATATGTATGGTCGAAGGAAGTTTAGAAGCCAAACTTCCGACAATATGGACAGATGAAAAGCAGGGCAGAGGCAGAGAGAAGAGAAAGATCAGAAGAGAGAAGAGTAGAAGAGAAAGAGTCAGAAGAAAGAAGATGCAGATGGGCGAAAAGGTAGGAAAGTCGCGAAACACTGTGTTTTTCCAATGATTTGAGGCTCCGGAGGGTCGAAAAGTAGGCTCGCTAAAGCGGCGGTTGCGGAGCCAGCTGGCCAGATGAGAGATGAAAACTTGCACGCCGTTGTGGCGCGAAGCAGATTTCGAAGTGAAAATGCACAAAACACACCATGGTCGGAGCACTTTTGGAAGTGGAGATGTCGAAAAAGTGCACGCAGTTGTGGCGCGAAGCACATTTTGAAGTCAAAATGTACAAAACACACCACGTTCGGACCACTTTTGGAAGTTGAGATGTCAAAAAAATGCACGCCGTTTGTGGCTCGAAGCACATTTCCAAGTCAAATGTTTTTTTTTTTTTTTTTTTTTTTTTTTTTGGGTTTTTTACAAAACACACCATTCTCGGACCACTTTTGGAAGTTCAGATGTCGAAAAAGTGCACGCCGTTGTGGCGCGAAGCACATTTCCAAGTCAAAATGCACAAAACACTAGGGGTGCGGACCACTTTTGGCAGTTAAGATGTCGAAAAAGTGCACGCCGTTGTGCCGCGAAGCACATGTCGAAGTCAAAATGTACAAAACACGACATGTTCGCGCCACTTTTGCAGGTTCAGATGTCGTTTCGCGTGGCGCAAGGGATTGTGCACCTCTTCAAAAGTGAGCAAAACGTGAGGGTTTTGTCGCATTTCCAAAAACGATGGTAGGCATGGGACATTTGAAGATGATCTGCAAAGATGCATTTTCCGTGGCAGGCGCGGTACAAAAGACATGTTCATGAGAGATGTTAGGAGGTCAGGGCGCTGATTTCCTGAGAGGGGTTGCATTTTGGAGCATCAGATCTGTAGGTTTGCTAAGATGATTTTGCGTGACAGGTGCAGCACTTCGCATGACCTGGCATCAATTTTTCGTGGCAGGCGCAGTACTTTAGATAGGTGGAGTGGAAAAATCGCAAGGCTGTCAGCGCTGCACTTTACTTTCCATTTTTCAAGGAAGTCTCGCAGAAGTGCTTTGTTTTTGATGTTGTCAAGCTCAAAAATTGAAGAAGTCTCGCAGAATTGCTTCGTTTTGGAGGTTGTCAAGTTCAAAAACTGCAGACGTCTCGTAGAATTGTTTCGTTTTTGCTGTTGTCAACGTCGAAAAATGAGGAAGTCTCGCAGAAGTGCTTCGTTTTCAAGCTGGCAGATAGACAGGGGGAATAGATAGACAGACAGACAGACAGACAGAGAGAGAGAGATAGATAGATAGATAGATAGATCGATAGGTAGGTAGACAGGTAGATAGATAGATAGATAGACAGACAGACAGACAGATAGATAGAGAGATAGACAGATAGATAGGCAGACGGATAGATAGATAGATAGATAGATAGATAGATAGATAGCTAGGTAGGTAGGTAGATAGATAGATAGATAGGTAGGATAGATAGACAGGCAGACAGAGATAGACAAATAGATAGAGAGACAGCTAAATAAAATGATAGATAGGTAGATAGATAGATAGATAGGTAGATAGATAGATAGGTAGGTAGATAGATAGATAGATAGGCAGACGGATTGATAGATAGATAGATAGATAGGCAGACGGATTGATTGATTGATAGATAGATAGATAGATAGACAGACAGACAGACAGATAGATAGATAGATCAGTAGGTAGGTAAGATCAGTAGGTAGGTAGGTAGATAATCAGAGAAAGATAGAGAAACAGAGAGAAAGAGAGAGAAAGAGAGAGAGAGAGAGAGAAAGATCAAACACCT